CCCGGCCGACAGCGAGCGGCCTGCCCGACAGGCCCTCCACCGCCGACAGCGAGCGGTCCGCCCCAGCTGCTGAGGGCTCGGGCACCCGCGGGAAGGGGACTGTTCCCCGCCCCTGAGGGGACTCCCCTCGCCCTGACGCAGCCCTTGTGCATCTTCGTAGGGCCCGAAAAGGGGACATACTGCAAGACACTGGTTCTGCCTTCCCCACGATAACGTTAACACCAGGCTGGCAGTGCTAACAAAACGCGGCAGGCAGGGAAGTCACCCTGTGTACAAAGGCGAAGAGTGACCTGCGTGACCTAAGGAGCCCAGATGAGAACAGGGAAACGGTGCTTGCAAGTAAATGTCTATTTCTGGAGGCCCTAAATTTTAAATTTTTAGCTAAACTGAACAAGTACACGGTGGTAAGTTCTCTGAGCATAGTCACCAACAGAGACTGTTTTAGAGAACAGGGACCAAGGATGCTCTGTGCTGAGAAATGGAAGCACGGGAACAGGAGAACGAGCGTGGTACTCCTGCATCCAACTTCTTTCCTGCTCGGGAATGAAACCTTGCTAAAGCACAAGACCAGGCTAAGTCACATCCCCTTCACAGACACCAGAACTGCAAACTGCCAAAGCAGACACAGCTCAGGCACATGTCTGGTCTCCTCGACCTAGGATTCCTACAAAAGGAAGAGGAACACAGCACCAATTTAGTGAAATGTAAGTTTCAATAACACCAGGTAATAATTACTTCAGATGCTAATAGCTGTAATCCATTTTGACCAGAGTGCAAATTAAGTGCAAGGCATTAGCCTCTTCAGGTTTCAAAGAGAAGTAGCATACTTTTCCTTTAGCATACAACATAAAAACGGTATATAAAGTGAAAAGAAGGACTAAAAAAAGCCCACAAACTCACACACCCCTACATCTGCAGAAGATGACAAACGTACCCTTCCCTACCCCAGGTCTTATGATCCTGACTCACGCTGTCAGGCGTATCAAGCCTGTTGCATTTCTCTACCACGCCACGTGATCTCTTACTACTCAGTCCTCCCTTCAGAGGTCCTAGCCAGAACATCTTGTCACCCTAATGAAAAGCTAGTCAACAACATCTTCATTATTACTTTGCTTTCAGTTTTCTGCATGGCATGCGCTTGCTACAATTGCATCAGTAATAGCACAGCTACTTCTCACAAATAAACAAATCCACCCACACAGAGCTAATCAGGCACAAGAACTCTAAACTCCCTCATTATCTGAATTCCTGGCAGATGTTTATTTTTTTCTGCAAGTACAGCATTATCTCAATCCTGCAGGATTTCTGGTTTCATGCATTCTAGCAAGCTAGCTTGCTGATGAAGATTTCCAGACAAGTCATGGAGCCCAAACGTCTTAGGAGCAAAACCAGGAATCAGAAGAGGCAAAGATCTCCTTAGCACAACAAACACATCTGACTGAACATGCTGTTGGAGGAGAGACCGCATTACTGCAACTCCCTTGCACACACCCCCTTCACTCCTCATCCGTTTCTTATCTGCTGCTTTTAGCCACTTCTTCTGCCATTGTAATTGCAGCAGTAGTTGTGCGCACGCCATAAGCCCACACGATACCAGAGGAACTGGGTTCTGATGCAAGTTTTCCGTAAGACTACAAACAAGGAAGTCACAGCACGTGCCTTGCTGCGTGCTAGGAAGCAGATGCTGCCTTCCAGTGATACAGAAACTCTGCCAAACGAGTAGAAAAAACAAGACCAGCTAACGAAGAGAGCAACAAGCGCCCTGTGGAATTCAGGACAACTTCAAATACTGACGGAAGGTACTATAGTGATGCAAGGGTAGAATGCAGCGAGGAGTACCTAAGACCACTCTAGTTGTAGGCTGAAAGCACCACACTGCTACTATATTTATTTTAGTTTTTAAATTATTAAACTATGAATGCAATTAGGGAAACAGTTTAGATACTTCACTTTTGTTCAGAAATTTCTGATTTCTCCTCTCTCTACTACTTTTCCAATCACAGACTTCCACTCTATTGTCAAGCTTAACAAGAAACAGAGCAACTGGGAATAACTACATTATAAATACCATGCAATAAACAGTTAATGAAAAGCAAGGGAACTTTGTGAAGATGTTAGCACTTTCTCAAGTGAGAGAACAGGTAGCAAGAAAGTGGAAGGACACAATGTAAGCCTTTCTACTCTTTGCCTAGCTTTTATTAAATAGTACATACAAACTTCTTTTGTGCTTCCAGTAGATAACATTTTTCCCTATTTGTCTCAAAACCCCCAAACAACCCAAAGCAACAGGACTAAAAAAAACCCCCAACCCCCCCCCCAAAAAAACAATTAAATAGCAAGGTTTGTGTAGCTTTATTTCACAAAATTTCCTCTCCCCAAAAAGGATGTGGAGGTAATATTTGTTTCCTCTGTATCAATTAAGCATAGCCCATTGGAAGTGTTTTCTAATTAAAGATTCTACCTGTAGCCTAAAGGGACAGCAGAAGAGCTCCAGCAACTCTTGCAGGGGCAGACCGAGGTGGTACAGCCCCAGCTTTTTTCCTCTGCCCATCCGCTGACGGTTTGCTGCTCCCAGGACACAGCTAGCAGAAGATGCTATGCGCTTGCGCCTCAGCTACTCTACTGTAAAGTGCCACGTGTTCAGCATCAATTGCTGATAAAGATGAACTAGAGCTAAGCTACCAGACCTTACAGTGGAATGAATGAAGTACAGGCACATGTTCACTTCTGCTGACATAGAAAAGCTGACTCCCTATGCCATTCCAGCAGCAGCCATGTCAGCTCCCTTGAAGTCCAGCTGTGCCGCTGCTTGCTTGGTAATTATCAGTTGTAAGGGTTAATAACCCAAATTAGAGCTTTTGTCATACAGTCCACAATGGGTTTCCATGTGTAAGTTATTGCAAGTGAAGCATCTACAGCCAAACATAGAATAAAAACAGAACGCTGTCCAAAAGTTCTTTTTCATTTGAAAAGGAGAAACAAAAAGCAATTTATGGAATAGAAATCCGCAACTTGAACTGAAACAGTGATGTCTGAGTACCTCTTGGCTACAGGGACCCACTGGGACAGGAAAGCCCACCATCAGATCACTTACATGGGAGGCAGTTCTAAACAGATGCTGTAAACAGAACTATCCCAGCACTGCATACTCCCATCAAAGCCTCTTTCACATTAGGTGAGCAGTGCTTGCACACTCTACAAAGCGATTCCATCTCCTTGTAGGGATACCGACTTCTCAGTGGGAGATGTTACATGTGCAAGGAGGAGAGTTCTGCTGAAATGTCTAGTTAATACTTGCTGAACATGAGTAGTCAAGCATTTGTGGAGGAGCACCCCAGGAGTGGGTTTGGCGATGCTTGGGTTTGTTTTTTTTTGGGGGGTGTTGTTTTGTTTGTTTGTTTTAAACTAAATCATGCAACACATGGATGGTAGGGATAAATTACTTTTCCAGGCACCCACCACATTGCCGGCAATGAGATGTGCCACAACAGCAAGTGTTAGCTCTATGCAGCTGTTACCTATAGGTCAATGGCATTTAAAATAGAAAATCTTTCTTACACAGTGTTATGAATAAAATTGCACTTGGTTTTGTTAAAAACTCATATCACCGTAACGCTTCCAAATATTTCCTTTCTGGCATCTTAATTTTCTTCATTAACAGAATCTTCTCTCTGAAAACCTCTCATTTATGTTGGACACATGACATACAACAGCAGTAAGCCATTATCTACCAGAAAACTGGTCTGCTGTTTCTTCAGAGCGTATTTCTCTCTGTCCCCATCCTCCCCCCCAAAAAAGGTACAGGCAGTTCACCTCTAAGTGTCAGTTGTAACACTGAAATATAAACTCCTCAAGTGGACATTAGGAATTTTAGTTTCACAGATTAAATATTTGAAAAGTTACAGAAGGTGCTGGAATAGTACACATTTAAATTGCTTAAAAATCCAAACTTGCAGCAATGTTGTAAATTCAAATTTCCAAAAGGTTTATAATGTCCTTGTGAACTTCTTCTACAGCAAGATACTCTCATGACAATAAAGCATCAGACTTCCAAGGCTGAGATCAAGAAACAAATCAGCAGGATGCATTCGCTCCACCAAGCAACTTTACAAGAGGCGTCTCCACTTCCAATAGCAAAAAGCTACTCCTTCATTCCATTTTGGACCTTTCAAAGTGTGTAATCATTCTTTCCTGCAAAATAAAATACCCAATGTTGTCATTTCCCCCAATAGGTTTACGATATTCAGAAATAAGGTGGTATGCTTTGCACATTCACAACAAAAGCATACTTCTATGCATTTTAAGTCAGGAGTCCAACTTACACAGTAGATACATCACTTCTTTTAGAATATACATTCAAAATACACGTTTGTATTTGAAGAAATTATACCACGGTTGTCTCCACTATCCTCCCCACCCTTGTAGTAATTTACTGCTGCAATGGCAAGATCAGAGAGCCTAGTTCTAATAAGCCAAGTCCTTAAAAACTCACTCATGACTCCTTTGGCATGTCAGAAGACTAATTTGAACTGAACATTTGTTTACTGACCTCATCTGAATCCAGAAGAGCTGGAAGAGCACTGCAGGGAGGGGGGGGAAAAAAAAAAAAGAGAAATAGTTAAGAGAATTAGGGCACCTACTGAGAGCATGTTATTCACAACCATTTTCAGCCTTACGTTTCACCTTCAGCTTTATAGGGCACAGGACATCAATAATGTAGACCTTTCAATTAAACAGACAGAAATTAGCAAAATATACACACAAAGAGGAAAGGCCCAAAGAGTATTCTCAGTGACCTGCACAGTTTAAAAAAAATTTTTTTTTAAGCTTCTCATTACCAACTGAACAATTCCCAAGTTGCCACAAAATAAGCTGCATCATTTATATGGGAAGACTGCTGAACTACACTGAAGAAACTTACAATATGGGACCATATTGTAAAAACACATCCCAGAAATCAAACAAGTTACACTGGTATCATAGCCTTATCAGCTACGATACAACTTCTATCTATATATTTGGATGTCATCTCTTCACAACGCTGATCGACATACTTTCAAGAACAGAAAACCCTGCAGCAGACTACCTCAAAGCGCCCTTTCCCAGCTTCTATCAGTCTAGTCCTTGTTTTCTTAGGGAATCCTACCACTCTTCAAAAAAAACAAAACAAAAAAAGTACTAGAACTGGGAAAAACAAATTCAATTGAGAAAACGCACTTTTTCATCCTCTTGAAGCTTCACCTAATTTCTTGTCTTTATCTAACTTCAAGCAGAATTTTGTACTTAAATCCAGAGCCTCTGCAAAAATTACCTGTTCAGATTCGTGAACATAATTGATCTGTGAACTTCTGTTTTGCTATGAAAAAATTAGACACTGACATTGTTAGGATGTAAAAGTTATTAAAACAGAATAGAAATGGACTGCCTACCTAGCTGACTGTATTACTAGAAGCATAATCATAACTCAGACATTCCAAATAAAGTTGACAACTAAATGACATTATTCAGTGGTTTACATTCAGCAAGCTACTCAAAGGACTTTTCAGAGCACTAAACAGAAAGAGGGTTGGTTTGTTCTTTGTTTTCTGGATTTAGTTAGTTTTAACTTCATTGAAGCGCAAGCAAATCAGTCTGTGGTTTCACAGTCCGAGAGGGTGCTCCTTAGGTCAGCATGTGTGTGAGTGGCATGAACTTTAAGTCTGACAGACTGCATAAATCCAAGTGAAGCATGCCAAGAAGTCAGAGGCCAGTTCCAGGCTGAGCTCCATATCTGCTCGTGTAAGTGCAGCATACAAGTTACAAGGCATTCTAATGTATTTGTGCTCCTGTGTCCAAGGAACCTGCTTTTCTTGTGACTACAAAAATACTCACACATCTGTCACCGATGAAGGAACATTTTCCTCTACCCACTTCAGGTCATCCTCCTGCTACAAGTACAGAAATTAAATGAAAAACAAAAGTCAGTTTTCCCAAAATGCTGTCACATGAAAAACAAAAGTCAGTTTTCCCAAAATGCTGTCACATGCAAGCCTTTTTATTCTCAGCCTACTTAACAAAAAACCAATGTATTTACATAAGTTCAAAAAAAAACCCGAAACACAAAAACTCCACCTTCAACTGGATTTCTGAATTACAGAAAACACATTCCAAGAAAAAAAGATAAAAACCCACCTATAACCTACTGTCAACTCTGTAACACTCTAATGGTGACTAGGAAAAGCAGGCTGTCAGGACACTTTGGTTATTTACATGATCTAGTTTAGTCTCCCACAAAAGAACATTATCTTTAGAAGATGTGACAGATGAAAAATTACTACAAAAAGCACAAGCTAGATTTTGCAAAGGTAAGTTAAACTGTATTGTCAGGGTTTCTCATTTCTGTCTGATGAACACTCTCTAGTTCACAACACAGGCACACTGGTTTTGAAGTTGGAGAACTGACCCTTTCTGATCCCCCCCAAAACCAGAAAAGCTAGATTTTCATGTTATCCTCAGGTAAGTAGTATACAGCTGCAACCAACCTTTGAGAAAAACAATGTTGACAACAAAAATATTACTGCTATTACCATGAATTCCTACAGGTTCTTTCCACTTTTAAATTCATGCATGAATTCCATAAAAAGATTCCGAGACAAGTTTTCTACCTCCTAGCTGAATGTGAAACCACCTCTGCTTATAAGCCACATGGAAAAAATGCAGATACATTAAAAATGTTCCACGTAAACTATTTACATAGCTACATAATAATATGCACATCACCCCATTCAAGTAATGAATCACAAATCTCAAAATTAGAAGGCAATTAATTTATTAACAATATGGCTCAGCTTCCCTCTCCACCTGACAAACTTGTTAAAATAATGTACCATTCATTATCAGAATACAGTATTATGCAGTTCTGTCTTACTGGATTGTGCAAACATTCCTAAAGAACAGACTGCATTCTGAAGTTTCCATTGCATTTACAGGAAATTAGATTTAAAACTTCTATTTACTTTCTTTTCAGAAGTACTGTAAACATATGATGCTTTGATTCACTCCCACTCTGAAGCAAACCATGACACTCATATTTACAGGCCGAACACTTTGCATAGTTGTGAACTACTACGGGGGTGGGGGGCAGACACAAAACAAGAGATGGATCTATATCCTTTGAGGTAGGGAAGGAATACTCACAGCTTTGTTTGCTTTTACATTCCCATTTGGTTCTTGCTTTGTACTTCTCATTTTCATTCCCTCTGAAGACAAAAGAAGGAAAAAAATTGGTGTTAGTGAACTATAATTGTTCATAGACTGTAAAAGTGTTGAGTGTTCATTCAGAATATTTCATCAAATCCAAAGAGACAGAGTAAGACAGACAAGTTATTCGTTAAGATAATGCTTTTCTGTTGAAAGGCTTCTATTTTTCTTGACAGGTAGAGTACGTAGTTTTTCCTGAATTTTGCAATTTTATCTAGGAAATATCAATTTCTAGTCCCTTCTATCAATCAATTTCTATCTATCTATCAATTTCTAGTCCTTTCTAGTCCTTTTCTCTAAGCCAGACATAAGTAGCATAGACAGTTGCTCAGAGCAGCTGTGGCATCTCCATCCCTGTACTCGACAGCCATCTAGACATGGTCCTGGGCAACCTGCTCTAGGTGACCCTGCTTGAGCAGGGTGTTTCAACAGGACGACCTCCAGAGGTCCCTTCCAGCCTCAACCATTCTGGCTGGGAGATATAGTGGGAGACATATGTAACTCCCAAAATTTATTTTACCTACTGACTGCTGACCAGCCACCTGGCTGACTTCAGAGCTGAGAGGTAACATGCATCTCCCAGCCTGGCAGACAGCCAGATATAGCTGATTTGGCAAATGCATCCAAGGGATCACACACTCCTCCCCAACTCCTAAAAAAGCGAAACAGCACTGATATATCCCAGCAGAATAGGTTTGTGGACAGCTAGCAGCCATGGGTATGTCACCCTACCTTTTACACAGCTTATAAACAATAGTGCTATGAGGACAACAGACATAGTAGAGAGATGGGAGGCAGTGAAGAGAGAGGGTTTTATAGTAGGAGGGGAATGAGTGGAGAGAAAGATGCAATCTAGTGTTATAAAGCAGGACTCTTTCATTCATATGTAATTTCATGAATATGTAAACATACTCATTCACATCCTTACACTGGACCGTCCTTTACTAGGCCCTAATACGGAAAATTAAGACTATTACAGAGTTCAGAGAACAGATAATAAATGAAAATCCTTAAACTTGATTTTAAAAGAGAACTCAAACTAAACTGTAGCCTAGCAACAACATCCAAGAGATCCTCGAATAGCCATCATCACGACTGGATCCAAACCTACGCCTTGACATATTTAATAAAACAAAGTCCAGTGGACATGGTAAAGCAACCAAAACTGCAGCAGTGTGTTCAGTGTCATCTGAAAACCCCAGAATTTAAACAGGCAATGTAAACACAAAACATAAAGCCAATGTTTCCTCTACAACTGCGTAAATCAATGGCATCAGGGAGGCATTGACTTTGCTTTTACAGCAGTAATGAACTTTTTGCCAGAGAACCTGAGACCTCCCTCCACAGAAGTACCTCTTCAATACTGAAATTACGCGGGGAAAAAAAGTTTTTGTCATACCAAAGCTTTCCTTTAACATTGGCTCTTTCTGCTCATCATCCTCCTCCTCCTCTTCAGACAGTGGTGAGAAAGCAAACCTTCAGGTGGGAAAGAATGAATGCTATCTTAGAATAGTATCTCTTGCCACCCAAGAAATTCATTACTCTGACATTCACGACTTGATTATTCTGTGTAGTTCATTGTTTTTAAGACTTAGGCTACACTACATAATCAAAAGTTTAAGTCACTTTTAAAATAAGTTCACCATCAGGAACAGATTGAATTTTATCTATGTGACTTCCTACACTTACTTTTCCTTAAGGCCCTACACACACTGCCTAATATCCTTATGGATCAATATACAGTGACTAAAAATCACCCATGAGTACTTCTCTAGCTAAACAAGCACTCCCAAAAAAACAGTAATTTTAGAAAGCGCTAAGAAAATATGAACCTTTGGTTGTTAGCTGATGGTCTCCACAGAATCATGATGACAAAAAGGATCATTGAAAACAATAAACGCCAGATAGCATCATCCACCCATAGCTCCTGCCAGTCCTGTCAAGGAAAACAGCAGCACAAATAGAAAAAGTTGTGAAGAAAATGGCTCTGTGTCCTCAGCTCTTTCCAAGGGTGAACTACAGGCATCTGACAAAGAGGCTCGTTTCCCAGAACAGTGAGAATTTTAGCACGTGGTATATTACTCTAAACATAATCCACAGAAAAATCTGTTCCAGAATGCCCAATCTCTTACACTGCCAAATATAAACTGAAAGAGGCAGCAACTGCAGAAAGCATTCAATATAAACTCACCGACTGACAGTCCACCAGCCTGAACTTCATGGTGGTCCAGATGATAAATACAATAGATGCTGCAACATTAAAACAAACAAGCTGCTTATTACTACAAAATATGCTAATCCAAATATACTACTAACACGACTGTGTTTCCCAACAAAGGGCAAAGACCTAAAAAGTGAATTATTGGAATCCAATTTATTAGTTTTGGAAAACAACAGATTGATTTATTGCACTGACCTTATACAGTAGTTGAGGCACAGACCAGTGTATTTTGTTCTTGGTTCTTCAGAGACACAAGGCATTAATCAAGTATGAAGTATTTAGCTGAACTCCTCATCCCCATTCACTATTCCTCTATTACCTCCATCTAGTCTCCAAACATGGTTTCATTATCAGTTGACAAATAAAGCCTACCTTGAAGTAAACAAACCATCTGATCTGCCTGAATGCTTAAGCATTCAGATCTTGACCCATCAGAGTTCCAGTGCTCAAACTATGCTCTCAACACAGTTTTAGAAAATGAAACTTTGCTCCACTAAGGTGTTCTATGATGACTAAGAACCAGATGCTGCAAGGAATTTAATCAGAGCTGTCAATTAAAAGTAATGCACCTTTTTGTTTGTTTAAATAAAAAAGCACAGTGCTTGGAAGTTTTCTGCTCATTGTATGGATAGCATTTCCAAACAGGTGAGGAATGGAGCACCTGGAAGCACCACAGATTTATTCTTGAAGTTCAGTCCATCACTACTACAAGTGAAAGAGAATCTGAATCTGTATTCTTCCAGAATACAGGGGGGATTATGTTACAATACTAAGAATAGTGGTTTTTTCCAAGAAACCCTCTAGTCTTCCGACATCTTAAAAATCCCATAGAACACAGTGATACTGCAGTTTTGGCAAAAACTACCTCTGTGAATTTGACAGCATAGGATAATAATCTTTTGCCCCCAGCAGCTTTAAAAGGGACAAAAAAGTGCTCCATTAGGGGAGCTGCATAGAACTACTGATCTCAAACTTCAGGACTAATAATCCACTGCCTCTAAAGTACCTGTGTAACACTTGGCATAAACCCACTACTAGAAATGGGTCAAGCGTTAGAAACATCAAGTACTCTGACTGCATTTACAGAAAGGTCAAACTCAAAAATCTGCTTTAGTGATCAAATCAAGCCATATATAGATATGGCAAGTGCTCTTATTTGATTAACACAATTTTCTGCTTACCTGCTACAGCCAAGATGAGTGTGTTGGTGAAGTGACGATACAAAGACAGTTTCACAACGTTCCTTCGAAGTTTTAGCAGTTTCATTGTTTGAGTTAAACTGATGAATATGTATGGTAAGTCAAGGAAAGCCTCTGGAGGGACAAGCTGGTCACAGACTTAGGAGGGGACAGATCTTATGATCACCAGCTCTCCCACTCACACACTTAGCCCTCTAAAAAGGTAGACCAGACTCAGCAGAAGAAAAGTTCATCCTATGACAAAGGTGCCAAAAAGCAGGATCCATCCCTTTCACATTATGTAGTCATCTAAACCTAGAACTCTTGTCACACAAAGATGGCATCCAAGCATCTGTTTTGGACTATGGCCCATTCCTCCAAAAGTGTCAAATGTATTTCTGATAAATGGAAAATCAAGTCTGAACTGAAAGTGAGTTAAAATTCAATTAGTGCACACACATCTTCACCCTTTTGCCTACAATTTTATTTCCATAGTGACAAAACAAGTGCTTAGGAGAGATATCATGCTAGAAGAGAATTGGGGTTCTCATGGCTGGGCAGCAAGCTACTCACATTTTAAACAAAGTTATGTGATTGATTTTCACTAATAATAAGTTATACGGATTTTGCTATACATGGCTTTGAGTTCGGCTCTTGACAGCAGTTGCTAAAGTCACACAAGATTATGGTTGTTTGGATGTAATGTCAAGACACCAAAAAGTTAACATTGCCCCATTTTGTCATCTAACTACTTCAAGATGAGTTCACATTTTACAGAAAGAATTTTAGGTTTGATGTTGCTAAGAAACCTTCTCCCCAAAGCATAAACTGAGTCTGTTCTCCAAAGGCTACTACTATAGTATTGTTACAGGGATACGCTAGAACAAGTTAATTTCACACCTTGACAATCAGAGACTGGTAACAGACAGACTTAATCTATGTTCAGAAGCTACTCTAACACAGACACCTACTGGTTACCTAGTTTTCCTTGTACTGGCTGTAGCAGCAGCTTACCTGAATACTCAATTACAAAGGTTCTAATAACTTTATTGGAAGTAGAAAGAACATATACTTGAAGCTGATTTTAAAAAAAAGTTCAGCCAAAAAGACTCCCCAAAAAAAAAACAAATTTGAAAGAAAACACACCCCACCAAGTAAAATAGTGAAGGATATCCACCAGCACAGGGCAGTATCTAGGAAAGCCAGGGGAATAAAAGCCAAGGAGGCAAGATCATTCTGGGCCTGGAGACAAAGAGAGAGCCAGTAAAAACAAACTGAAAAGGAGACAAGGTACAGAAGAAGTGAGGAGTGTCAGGCTATTTTATGACAAACCACAAATACTCCACCACAATGTTTTTAAGTTTTACTGTAGAAGCAGAAGGTTTGAACTAAAAGTTTAGTCCAATGCACACAGGGGAACTGACAATACCACACTGCCAGTTCTCAGTTCTCCACCAGCAAGTAGTAATCCAGATCAAGTCAATCTAACACTGTTAAAAGGAGCCTCTGCTAAGGTGACTGCTGCGATGATGTGCTCTGGCCACTTCCATTACAGAAAACTAGCAATCTGCTTGTTAGAAATGTAGTAATTAAATCTCATACACTATCCATGGACAAACTGAATGCTCAACTGGCAAACATGAGTTTGACTGAAAGTGGCAAAAATTGCCTTTGTGTGTACATCAAAAACTATCAAAGTCCCAACTGAGACAAGCAAATCACCTTTTATTCCTTTTAAGTATAAGACAGAAATAATAAGCTTGTAATATTCTGCAGTTTATGAAAGGATATCCACAAAATAATACAGGCATCAATCATGGACAGGACCAAGTTTGCTATCAGAGCCACAGTGTCATAGAAAAACTGAAAAAGTACCAAATATGACATGTTAAATACCTTATCCCAAAATACCAAAAACAGAACAACAGAAATCTACATCCTGAGATGCACTTCTTAAGGAAGTAGTAGCACCAGTCACATGCACTTCCCAAGGTACAGCCTCCAAAACTGGAGTGGTGGAGGCTATTTTTTTTTGAGACTCATGGCCAGGTGACCCAAGCTGTACGTTTGTGTCTGAAACTAGCCCTGCCTAATCTGAAGTATCAGACACAAGGATCCAGACAGAATACAGTGTCTGAAGTATGACTAATGAGAAAACTACTAGAATTATTTTAAAATACACATAATTACATCCTGATAAACATAGAAGACATCAAACTTAAAATAGCTGTCAATAATCCACACCCACAGTCTCAGAGTTTAACCACTTCATTGTCTCTGTTGCCTTTTTTCAGTATAGCCCTGGGATTCTTCCTTAGCACATAAGTAAAGCCAGTAGCATTAGTGGCATATGGGAAAATTCAAGCAATTATTACTCACCCCTGTGACTCTAAGTACACCTTCCATGCCAGAAAATAATAGATAAAGGGCACCAGCCATAACTACTTTGTGAAGAGTAACTCCAAGGCGAGGCCTGCAGGAAAACAAAGTGAAATTTAGATTAAGTGGGGAAAAAAAGTTGTCATGTCAACATGAGTCTAATGTAAGGCATGAAACATGTGAACAAAAAGGTCCTTGTGACAAGCCATTTCTAGATCAAGAAATAATTTTATTATGGTACTATTCATCTTGTCTCATGGCACGATGTGACTAAGGAAGAGATTGTAACAGTCCTGTTTCCTAGTTAACTGTTTAGCTTTTTACAAACATTTCAAGAAGTCTCAGCCCACCTCTTCATCACCCATTGCCCCAGCACACCCACACTTGCTAGAAGCTTCCACTACCACACAGCGTATTGTTTTACCATTGAATACAGCTAGGGACAGAGAGAAGAGGAACAATCTTGGCAACAGAAGCCTCCTAAAGCAGATCCCTTCCCCAGTCAGTGATTCTTGACCTCCCCCATTTCTAGAAGCTCCTCCTTGCCCAGAAGTAAGGCATAAAAAGCTCCCATTCCAGTCAGTATCTCAGCAGTGACTCAGAAACCTACCCAACAGTGGTACACAGAAGAGAGTGGGAAGAAGAATAATCACCATATGGAATTGTACGTCTCTCAACTAGTGAAGAAGTCTAGGCCTTTACAGCACTTAACTAAAGCACCTACCTTTTAAAGTAGCAAAGTACAAGGAGATTAAAACTGTCTTAAGTTATTAAAAACCAACAGTGAAAAGCCATTTAATAGAACTTGACAAACCTGTAACAGAACTACTCACTTGACTATCCCATATCCCAGGCTGACTATGATGACCAGAGTTCGAGCCAATGAGCGCTTCACAGCAGAAAGCAGTTCTGCCAGTATTACTGCTCCTTGAACTACCAAAAGCAAAAGAGGTGAAAGCCAGGTTATTAAAACATAATTTCTGCTTTATTAACTACTGCATGCAATTGTAGTCCGAGAGCAGACCTAATTATTTTCAGAAAGTAGACTATTATAATGTATCATCTTTTTATTATCTGCATCTGGAGTAAGCTTTCAGAAAAGACAGCTCACTTAGCATAAAAGCTACTGAAAATTTTTACATCCATAGAAAGAAGAGAGTGATTCTCAAAATGTTTATCCATAAGATCAGCCTATATGTCCAAACAAGTCAACTGACAAAACCTTCTGTACCATGGATATGGCCAATCAACAAAGTTGTAATGAAGTTTTACTTGCACAGTTTTATTTGTATGCATCTCTTCGGTAAAAAAAAAAAAAAAAAATCAAACCAGAGTCCCAAAGTTTTATGCAGAAAGAATCGCTTAAGATGGATTATCAGGCTATGGCTGAATATTAAGTCATCTGCAATGCTGTAATGTTGAACAAGGAGTTTCGAAGTCTCTTTTCAAGACCAATACCAATTGCAAAAAATTAATTACAAGCTACAATTAGGAAGTCCTGCTTTAAACTTCAAGCCAGCACTACAGTGAATACTCTCCAGAACCTAGCATTTCACATCCCTAAGACACTACACTCAGAAGTGAGAGAAAGCAACAGCATCTTAGAAGAGCACAGGTCATCACATTTAAAATATATATTAAAAAAATGCAGAAACTCTGGTTCCCAGTTCTGCTTTGAAGCAATCCTCAAGTAATCATATACTTAATATGCATCTGTCACCCCAATTTAGCATAAGCCATTAGTGCTATGCCCCATCAATTAAACTGCAAGCTGCGATTGCTACTTACCAGATTCCCCTGTGTAGCGGATATTCTGGAACTCTGCATAGAAAACTGCTTTCTCGAGCATTCCCAGGAAGATAACAGCACCAATCCAGAACTGGATCCTCAGGAGATCCCGCCAGTAACAGGCTGACCACGCAAGCCATAGAACCCCGAAGAATACGTACACGATACACATCACCATGAAAAACTATTACACAAAAAAAAGAAGCAACAAATAGGAACCTTAAACCCAGAAAAATCACCTCCTTGTTTCCATTCCACAGCTCTAAGACAGCTCTATTTTCTCCCTGAGTATAGCAACTTTTGAAGTTTTATATACAGAAGTGACTAGAAACCAGCATTTCTTCATTTGTCTTCTCTGGATTCTTTTATAGTGACAGTCTAATTTCTCACTGCTAAAATCATAGTAATTGAATTGCTGAGCAATTTCTCTCCTGAAGAGCAGTCTGCCAATTTATTCCCTGGCAATTTTTCTAAGGAAGATATCAAGCACTACTAGCATTCAAAAACTTATCTAAGAGCTCAGGGAAATCATCAAGTACTAGAAATTCTGCCCTTTCTCACATATTATTCTATTACTACCTGCAACACACATTTACAGTACTCTGCAAATAAGCTTATGAGTCACCTTTACACACCGTTTCACAGAACAGAGATAAGCAACTCATGGTTGTAATCACTCTGTTCAAATGATATGACAACTTCTCTCAAAAGTTAATTTCCAGCAAATTCAGTTTTTGACCAAGCTTTAGGTCAGTCAAAAATCTGAAATTGAAAGAAACCCAGATATTCATTTCAAAATTTTCATTTTGAGATTTTTTTTTTTTTTCCCAGTCCAGTGCTAACTGCTTCAGAAGAACTTTCAGGGTACATGTCTCCTACAGTGAGCAATAAGCTTGACAATGCTACTCAGTGCTGAGTTTTCTAAATGACAACACCATACCAGAGCAAGTTAAGTTTTAAAAAAGGACACTGAGCTTAAGAAGAGAGATAAGTAGTAGTAAGACATTAAACGAATAGCAGGAAGCACTTAGCCAAAGTATAGGACAATAATAATCGAGCAGTCTCCTCTTGCAGAAAATTAGGTATTTTTAAAATGAAGCATTGAAGTTAGCTGCACAATCCACTGAAGCTTTCACAAACTGAAAACGCCTTCCTTAGGAGAACAGCTTACTGATCCTCACAGATTTTTACGTCTGACTAATCCATGCAGTTCAAATGGCAAGTACCTAGGCACACTGGTTCATGCTCAGATGGTCCATTACAGAAACATTTAGACAGAGACCTTTTTCTGGACCTGCCACATGGGGATTTTCACACTAGTGAATTACAAGGCAACAGACCTGCTAGAGGCTTTTTACTTCTGTCAGGCTCTCCTATTTACAGGCCACTCTTGCCAGTAGAGACCTTACTTCTTATTGATTCCCAGCTGAAGTCTTTCTACACTACATAAATATCTAAGTTCTTTTATTTTCTTAGCCTCCTGGACAGAGGCAACTAGAAACCAAGTCAACACCTCTTTTGAATTAAAAGGGGATTAGCTCTCTGTAGTTCAGTTATGCTTTCACTGTTAGGCAGTATTAACGACCTCCTCACGGGGTGTAAGAGAGCTGGTGGAGGAAGGAATATTAAGCTGTAAAAGAACAAAGAAAGCAGTGGCAAATGAAAGGGTAGCTGTAAACAAGCACAGACAGCAAATTTTCTAAGATATAAGCTAAGCAGAAAAACAGCATCAGTAAGACTGCTCAGTTTAGAGCTAATGCTACTGATAATTTCTGGAACCACAAATTGACAGGCATCAAGTCAAACAATCCAGAGAAGGACACCACCAGTGGCACATGCAAATGTCTGAAATCTATGTCTGTTTTCCCTACCTTGTATCTAGAGCACAAACAAAAAAACCCAAAACAAAACAAAACCCATCAAACCAAAAGACATCCTCTGCTAAATTATTTTTTCTGAGACACTGGCTTTGCATTTCCTGAAGTACAGAAGGAGATTATTTCATCGAGAAGCAAATCAGCTGACAACTTTAAAGGTCAAAGAAAAGCTGTTATACTTACAATCATCAGAGGATAGTCTGCAAGTGAGAGATACTCATATGGCCCCTTCAGTTCTATTGTCACTGTCAAAAGACAACCCAATAACCAAATTGAACAAGAACCAAAAGGAGAAAGCCAGGATAAAGTACTTAACTGATTTTTACTCAAGCGTAAAGAAATTCCAAATCGTCACATAGTTTTAAATCTAACTTGCACTTTAATCAAAGAAAGTTAAGACTCATAACACACTCGGCTAAAAGCATGCAATTAAAATCACACACTCCATTACCAAGTAACTCATGGCAGTACGTAATTTGTGCTCGAGATTCATGTGTAACGGAAGAGTTCAGAAACACACATAAGGTAGCCTTTTAAGGGGATTTTCAAACTTCTCTCAAGTTTGGATAGGTTATTAAAGCATTGTTAGATATACTATAATATAATTTCAAGGTGACAGTTATGATCTTTGTATTCTACATGATCTGAGCTTATTTATATAAATCACTGTGTTGGTCTGGACATTTCTGAACTACAACACCAAGTCTCAAAATTGAATTGCTTGGGGTGGTTCTTTACTTCCATCATTAAACTAACAGATCAACAGTCTTAGGATCTTCAAGACACTAACAACCACCTATTTTCTTACGATAAGAAAGAGTTGTAGTAGGTTTACACCTGTGTGAAGTGAATAGTGTCTTATGAAAATGAACCATACAGTATATATTAATGGTACCTTAGAATACACTCAGACTGGTATATGTAGTAAAAGGCACTATATTTTTTGCTTACTGTATAAACAGCTATCTTACTTGTAAAGGGCTTATTCTGATATGAGGAAGGTGTTGTTTTCTCCGTTCTTTTAACACTGGTACTAGAATTCTTCGCAGTTGTAACTCCAATTTGCACAATAAATATATATGGCCCATCTCGCCAAGTTCTGATAACAGCATTCATTGCCTGCAAATAAAATGTCTACATGTAAATAGTGCATAGTCAAGACAACACGGAAAAAACAGAAGTAGACTCACCATACATGGGTGACACCTTCCATGTAAAAATAAAGTTAGTCTCTCCCCAGGCCTACAACTTGTTAATAAATATTTGATACGTAAATTTTAACTCTATTTATTAGACATAATACTTTAAATTTAGTTGTTTGAATCCAGAAGAATCCTCAAAGACGTGGGACATGATCAGGGCTGATTTGCAAATTTAATACTGGCTTACTGCAAGAGTCATCTCTAAGATACTGCAAAAGCTACAAAGAATTCGGCAAAGCATCCTATTCCTTGTTTTCAGTCTAGAAACATTAGGACCCCCACAGAGACACTTCTTTCCTCCTGAAACCAATTGTCTGGCAACAGCACAGCTACATATAACTCAGATCCCTGGTGAAGGCTGAATTCTGTAGTGTAAGATAGCAGAGGTAGCTGAAAAGTAAAAGATTTCCATAGCAGTAATTTCCTGTGGAAACTCCTACTGCCCCTGCAACAGCTCTCATACCTGTAAGACTCAAACCCTGCCAATGAACTAATAGAGCAAGCTTGCCCAGATAAATATTTGCAGCATAAAACAAATCAGAGATTTGAGATCCAGCATACAAAACTTAATTCTACAGCTGAAGAAGTTCTAGCCATATCAGAAACCGCAATATCGGCCAAGAGCTTTAAGGTTAAAACTAAGACTACCTACATGTATGCCACTCACATGACCACTGCAGAACATCACAGACTTTTAACAGCCTCTCCAAGAGAATTTCAGTATGAAGAGCACACATTTCTTTTAAGAAACCTCCTGACTACAAGACCTAAAGCCAACAGAACTTCACATATAAAAAAAAAGTTTATGCTGATACTGACCAAAATTAAAAGACTTTGTTAAAAACACAGTAAACTTAGAAAATTTATATATTTTTAATACATAAATTTTGCCTTTAAAATATCTCCATCTCTTGCTACATTGATTTCATATTTCACAATTGCACGCACAGCTATTTATGTTTTAGCTTTAAGGTAACTGGCCCTGTAAACACACATGGAGTTACGTTCATTTTCTTTGTTGGCATCCAGGACATTCAATTTGAAGTTACTTTGACAGTCATTCCTAGTTAAGGCTTCAACATAATATATAATAAAAATACTAACAGATTCATAAATCAAAAGTAATCACTCAACTTGTTATGTACAGCATTTTAAAAGACTTACTAGTTAAAATTGAAACCAAATGTAAATTCTAAGTATTAGTCAACACTTAGATCATATAAATTATTTAAATTACTATGAAAAAAAGAAATTTATTTTTTAATTTATACCATCAGCTTGAACAGCATGAGTTCTACATTTCACATACAGAAGCGGTTACTCTGTTTTCTGTTTTTCCACACAGTGCTACCTGGTTTCAAGCTAAAAAAAAAAAAAACAAATCAGAGAACTGCACCATCCCTCTAAATGCTACCAGTAATTTCTTACAAAAAGAAATATAAACTTAAAAAAAAGAACAAATTAAGACTGATGGATTCCAAGGCATGTTTAAATTCAATATACATACAGTTTTATCTGCCACCATTGTGTGATTTCCTCCACTCTCCTTCTTATTTTTCAAGCTCTTAAAGAAAAACAGAAAAATGGATAAATCAATATGGCAAAACTACCTCTTCCATGCTTACACTCACTCATCAGAAGGAAAAAAAAAAATTTACCTCATGTTTCTCAGGTGACAGAGGCTCTGGATGAACAAATTCTTTATAGAAAATCTGCAAGATGTAAGAAAGGTACAGCATTTATAGGCACTTTGTATTAACATGACATTACCAGAAGAGCTTCCACTAAACTCAATTATAAGGAAGGATTCTCTGAATGGTTGTATTAGAGAGCTTTCATTTCTCTAAATCAAACAACTATCCATTTGTGGAGGGAGTCTTGAATACCTAGATGAGTATTTTGCCATTTGAGAGTTGCTTTTCCTCCCCTCAGACAACAGGTGTGTATTTTTAGAACGGGACCACAGACATGCCAGTAGTGAAGTTAATTGTATTTTTCAAATATGTATCTGTTGGCTATCTCCATTACACAGACAGAAACAGGATTTGGAGATCTCTGCCTTAGTCTACGCAAAAAACGTACCTAGATGAACAGGTGCCTATTAGAAATCCAGATTTTGCCAACTCTCCCAAACTGTGGTGATTTAAAATCTAGTGAAACTGCTATATCACAATGGAAGAGTTGAACAATGAAAAGGAGAAATTTCTGTGACATTTCAGAAATTAAAATAGGAGAGGAACATCTTTCATCAAAATTCAGCAGACTTTTCAAAGGAATTGGAGGAAAAGTCACTTAAAGACTTTTAAAACCCCAGTTTCACCAACCTGAACATTCAGTTAAGATGCTCGAGTTCACATTACACAACTAAATCCAAAGATCTCTTCTATAAAACCAAGTAGAACTGATACATCTTCTATTATTAAACATAAAAAGCAGGCAGCATACAGATTATTTTGAAACCTTTCAAGCCATCTTCACATAGCAAAGGAATTACAGACATGCAAACAGATTATTAAAAACCCTTTTCAAGTCATCTTTAGGCATGTCTTCTCTTAAAAAAAAAAACAAACAAACAAGAAAACAACACTAGGTTCAACAGTTATGAGACATTTCCCAGTATTCTCTACGCACAACCCTTTGTCTAAATCAGAAATGGCTGAATACAGATGCAACACTGCACAACTTGCCTTGAATTCTTAAGTACCCCACAAAATAAAGACAGCATGTTATACTGATATTGTCATCAGTATGACACAGCTTCGCCTGGTGATAAGCAGTTAGTGTATAGACTATGTTTGCACATTACTTTCCTATGCTGTTTTGCATTGTCTTCTCTCTTCAGTTTGATGTGATTCAAACACATTTTAGCACTACTTATTTTTCATTTTTAACCCACTATCAGTGCTTAAGTAACCAATTTCTCAACACGCTTTCATTTTCATTATTATAAATGAACATTATTTGAGCAAAAAAAGCCACTCCTTTGTAGACCCAAATTTAGTGGGAGCTTCACTCTGCTGCCAGTTTCACTCTGCTACTCAATTGGCAGTGGCCTTCTGTAAGTGAAACAAATTCAGAACACACAACCACAAACAAAAAGAAGCACTGAACTTTACAGTAGTTTCCTCCCACCCTGCCCATGGTGGGCCAGACGTTGAATTGCAAGCCAGAAGTAAAGCAAAATTAAGAAATCATCGTTGCAATTTGGTTGTCATAAACAGATAAAGACAAGTACCTCCCAATCTACAGTGATACTTACACAGGATGCTACACATCTAACAGGAACTACCACCTTCTCTTTACACTGCATGAGAGAAGAGAGCAAACTGAAGTTTCTACCCATACCTGAGGCCTGAAGAGCTCAGAGCAATTTGGAAACAGGAGAGACACTGTGGCATAGTATCCTGACCAACCCGGATGCTCTTCAGATGTAGCCCCAAAATAGTAGTCTGCCTGTTCATCCTGCCAAACACACAGAACAGAACTTAAGTTAGCATCCAGTATATCAAGTAGTTTACCTCAGTAGGCAGCTGCAAGATCTGGAGAGCACCATAACTTCCCTCTGCACACACTCTTGAATAGAATTTAATAGAATAAAGACCATCAAGACCACACAAGACTATTCTTCCTCAAAAGAAAAAAAAAAATGGGGGGGGGGGAACACCCCACACAGGTTTTCAGTAAGAATTAATATTTAACTAAAAAAAATTAAATCCTAGTATTCCTGCAGCAAAGGTACAACAGTCAGCATAAACTTCAGTCTACACAAACAAACTCTACTTCTATTGAAGATTAAAGACCACAGTACTATGTTAGGTTAGTAGTTATAACTGTCATATTTGAAGTAAACATGGAAAAGGTGTTACATAGTACAAACCAGCTGTGTTCTACCACATTTGATAGAAACACGCATTTTGTACAAATCACCAATACTTGCAATGTGCATCCATAAAGAACAGAATTCAGACTAAACACAAAAATATTCAGGTTTTTCTATTTGTTGTAAATAATATTTTCATCTACTATAAACTCACACACTTCAGTTTAGAGTCGATGCACTTATTTAATCTTCTGTGTTTAGAAGAATTCTGACAAACCCTTCCACCTTACCCAAAACCAAGAAGTCAGTAATACCAGCGAGCTGTGGATCAATTCCTCTCCATTCCATTTCCATTCCCAATGATCCAGAACTTTGTTACCTTCCAATGGAGGAGTGTCTTTCAGGCTCAAAGAGCAATGAGGATGCAAGCGAGACATCTCCAATCCCCTCAGCCCCAGATCTGCTTACCCCTAAAAATCATAACCCATGTTTTTCCGCACAATTCTTACCCCAAAGTTGAAGACTTCATTGTAGCAGTCAGAATATCTTAAGTACCAAGTAACATTGTAACTTTGGGAGGGATCACAAGCTTTTTCATCCCCTTCAACTAAAAAAAACAGGTAAGAACACGTAAAACACTGTCCACTTGTCATGCTTTTCCTCCCACTCTATGCCAAACTACCTTAATTTTATTTATGTTAAATACGAAACTGAAAGCAAAACAATAGAAAAACATTCTCCTCAAGTAATCCATTGCTGTTCAGTGAAAGAAAGAATCATGTGGAAAACAGAATTCCATTACAAGGTAACACAACTCTATTAAAGAGCTGAAGATCATTAAGAAGCTTTTTGTTCTCGAGACAATCAAGGATATTTCAGCAACTGCAAATAGCAAACAAGAGAATAGCAGTGACTCCCAGTGATTACAGTACACAAAAGGATTTCCCTTTCCAAGGTATGTGGGACAGATAGCAGGTAGAGAGAGCTAGGAACAGATCAATAATAAGGGCAATCTGCACAGATAATTTAAATACACCAATACCACCACCAAGAAAATAAATAAAAGGTAAGATTTTGCAAGTCAACAGCCACCTGCCCACTCCCAAAAGACCAACAAGCCATCTGTACATTAGCTCACTCAGGTAGCCTTGCAGCTTTGACCAAAACAGCAGTAAGACAGCTTTCACTTTGATTTATTAGAGAACAACATGTACGAAAAGCAAAACACAAGACTTCTCCCTCCACTCAGAAAAGATTGTGTGATTTTTATTTTTCAAATCTCATTATGAAACTAAAGCCTGACGAAGAGAATTTGACATTAAGAAGGTAAGCTTCACTCATAAACAAAATGAGCAGTGATTATTCAGAGACTTGGAAGAGCCATTCAGATAATTATGTTTAGGTTTTGCCAGTGGACGTATGGCAAAACTCTTTTGAGTTGACAGCATGTTTCTAGCAGCTAAGAAGTCCCCACACCTTCACAAACAACATTCATCTCAGACTAGACACCCACAAATTTGTTACAGGTACAGAGCTTTTCATGAATGTCTCCATGTTGACCACTGCAGGTAAAAAATGCAATTAGAAAAAAGACATTGCCATGGAGTCTTAACTGACTAATCTCACTTTAAACCATATGACTACTAAAGCAAGTATATGTAGAGCTAAAAAGTCAACAACTGAGTCTCTAATACCAAAGATTAAAAAATATTAAAGACTGGAATGCAATCTCTGAAAAACTATAGCTTCCTTATGACGCCTTCTGGTAAGCATGAAAACAAGGCATACATTCTCCACGTAGCCCTACTAAGAGGTAACACAAGCACTGCAGTGACGTGGGTAGATGGCAAATTCTTAGCAGACACAGGCTCTTCTGATAAAACTATTCAAATGGGGAATCTCTCAGAAAAGGGCTACCAGAAAATAGGAGGGATTCAAAACTACCTTTCAAATACCTTTTTACCTATTAAAAATAAGAAAGATTATTGGAACTCGATGTTCAGCAGTAACACCAACCAAAGTAAAACAGGCCACAACCAGAACAATCCGCCAACATCTGCAAACATCAAAACTGCAGAAACCTTGAAAAGGAAGTATTCTAAAAGATAGAAAAGGCATCCATGGCATTTATTGAATTCAGCAACATGGAAGTCTAAGTTCCTTCGCCTCCAAACAAAACCAGCAACATTCAACTCAAATGCAGCCTTTGTACTTATTTCGAGAGAACAGGATTTCTACCACAGTCCTAGACAGGAAACCAGATGCTTTCTACAATAGCACTGCAGAAAAGTAGTAGATAAAAATAAATTCATTACTGACAATACTAAACACCGGTGGCAGTCTTCCCAGTCAGAAGCAGAAAGCAGATGACACCAATGCACCACACACAAAAAAATCAAAAATCAAGAAGGGGAAAGAAAAAGGAGGAGGAGGAAATGCAGGTGTTCATCAGAAACACAAACCCATGAACAATCATGTTTGACAAGTGTCATACTGTCCACACAAACACCACAGAGCAGATGGAAGAGGCAACAGACAGCAAACAAAACGAGACCAGTTTCCATACAGACGCAGGCAGAAAAGAAACAATATGTAAAGCTGAAGCTTCCCGCTATCAGATGCAGTTTAAGTATCATCCAGGCTGAGAAACTAAAATTAAGTTCCTAGCCTTTCTTCCTTCCTCTTCCAGTGATTCATTATATAAACTCATGTAAATCTTTTAATCACACTGGTACGTAAAACAGGTGTCTTCACTAAAAAATGTTAAGGCTTAATGCCTGTTTAAAGGGTGACAGCACAGTGTAGCTGAAGTCCAGATCAGCAGCCAGGAGATCGAATTCTTACTGCCAGATCTGCCACAAACCTGTCTTGCAACAGACAAATTCAATTTTCTCTGTACCTTAGTTCCTTCCTTCTCTTGGTTATTTCAGCTGCACACCTCATGATTAGACAGACTGTACACTTCACCACGGGGACCCACATCTTAGATTCCACATTAGTCTGAGCACACTATCTCTATTAAACTTTAGACAAAGCCTAACAACTACAAAAGCTTCAAACGCCCTTTCAAACCCTCCCTGCACCTTCTCCCCAAGCATCAGATTTCTACATTTTGATCCTACAGCTGTGTACTTGGCCATTGTCTTGCTGCAAGCTGTGAAACTCAGCATTTGAGCTACACTTGACAAGTGGGAAAACCTTAACCCTGACACAACGGACCTTCACTAATAACCACTTTAAAACCAGCCTCCTATTTCAGATTCATGTGGGATTAATGGAGGCACTTTAACAGAGTCCGTTTGAAACACAGTGTCAAGAAGGGATGGTAACTTAAATTAAACTTGAAAATCTGTAAATTAAGTACTAAACATAAAAGAGCACAGCAATACGCAATTTTGTCAAGAAGGATCAGCTAATCCCCATCATATGTTGATTTTCTTAGCTAAAAAAAAGCACAATCACTGCAGCAGCTAAGTCCTGAAGTGACAAAGGCACAGATCCCACTAATTGTCTCTAAAGCAACTTTTATTTCCTCCTTTGACACAAGTGCAAAAAGGCATGCACAGACACTGTACCTGTGTAACTACCCAGTTAGCAGCTGGAGACCAAACAGCTTCCCCACCATGGTAAGAACTGGTTCAAACCACCCCTTAAAGTGCTCAAAGTGAATGGGAAAGATTTCAAGCCTTTCTAAATCAGCTAGTCACTTCCACAAGGCATCATCTAGTTGCCACCTAAATGCTGTCCTCATGTTCACAGATAAGAGGGTATTTTACAGAAATTCTCCTTTGGGCAGTAACCTACGTAACCCATAGCCCTGGCCAGATTAGCAAAGAGCAATAAACAGAGCAATAAACAGAAAGAACAAACAGGACAGCTGCAAATATGTTTGCTCTGTAGCGCACTCACACACTGTCATCAGGAGGAGACAACAGCTCTCAAAGAGAGCTCAGCCATACTGTGCAATGACATTCCCTTACCGTTCCCAGAAGCACCCATCTAAAAAGGAACAGGGCCTCAAAAAGCACTGCCTCCTGCACACTGGCATCAGCCACCCTGCAATACCAACAGCCCCTAGTCCCAGTCGGCACCAGGTCTCCCAGCTGAGGGAATTTAGCGTATCTCTTATAAAGAAAGCACATGTCACAGCAGGGCCCAGCCCATGCCATGCCTGATTACCCGCTATCCAAAATGAAGTGGAGCCCCCATTGCCCATCTTACCCTCTCCACAGAGGACTTGAACAGAATCATTTCTGCTACAGCCTGAACAGATCGCAGCTGTGAAGCATCAAGGCTGTTACTGCACTCAACCCTATCAGAGCTATGGCTTTCACCCAGTGCTAGATCAGCTGTCACTGCAACCAGGCAGCTAAACAGCTCACAGTGTTCCGAGACCCAAATGTTAAAGTAGGGGGGGGGTGCCAAACAGCAGAGCGAGCAGGTTAATCCCTTCTAACCACTTACATCTCAGGAAAATGGTGGTGTTGCTGAAGAGAATTTTCCCGAAGTTAAACTTCTTCCCCTGCGAAGGCACAGAAAAGAAAAAGGTATTAGTGGGCTTACTGTCACCGAGCTTAAGTAAACATCGTCTTTCACTGAAGAGTTTTAAGTCAATATAGCAATGAAAGTGAACGCCAAATCAAGAGCCAGCCTTACTGGATTTTCCAGTCATGCTTCACCACCCCTTCAACCTACTCTGCAAGTCGGCTTGAGAGGCTTGGGGCTTTTAGTTCTGCAAAACTGAGTCGATCAGCACCTTCTTGCTGTTAAGAAGGTCCAGAATATCGAACAAAAAGATTTTTTTGTTCCAAGAATCAACAGGATTCACCACGATACTTTAATTCTGCTCCCGCGGCTCAGGAGCCCCACGGAAAGCGAACGTCACTCCCTTCCGCAGCCCGGCAACGGCAGGTTTAATGCGCGGCAAAACAGATTTTCTCCACACAACTCCACACCCGCGCTCTGTAACAGCGGAGCTGGAAATTCCTCCACCACCACCACCACCACCCCCCCTCGGCTCAGACTTGTTCCACAATGTAAAATTAAACAGTGACATTTCTGCATACTTTTGACCTATGCAGAGATTTTGTGTCAATGACTTCAGGAAGTAACTAGACAAACCATGGAAAAGTGTGTGACAATTAACAGCAATAGTCTGCTGGCATGACAGATCTCAGCTATGGATTGTCTCAAATTTGAGTGTGTGTCTAGGGAAAGCCTACTATATTTGACTTAATTCCTGTGCTTTTCCCCTGAATATCCCCTACTGGCTTCTGTCAATGTCAAGATGCTGAGAGAGATGTATTCATAGATCTGCCCCACTGTGATGTTTGCTGTACAAATGTGGAATAAGATGACAGATCATGCCTAAAGAGCTTACAATCAAGAGCTAATAGATGCTTTAGAGCAGACTTCATTCTTTCCTCCACTCTTCACTTTGCTCTCAACTTGTTATATTGCAGCAATAGGGAGCATGTGCTTGTTTGGAGGGCAGCTGAATAGCTGTGTTTGCTAGAGGATTTTAGTAATTAAGTTGTTTTTTTTTTTAGTAAAAAAAAAAAAGGCAAAACAGATTTAGCTTGTTATTCCTGTCCCTTTCCTCTAAAGTGTCATTTTGCATTACTGCATTGTTGTATTAAAACCTAAAAATGAAAAATCTGAGGAATGGATCCCTGTGACTCTTATTAAGAAATGCCATGGATGGGAGTAATTTGCTTCCATCGGTAAACATAGCAGGCTTTGGCCAAAAGGCTCTTACTGTCAGAAAACCTGATTTATTTTCTGCATAGTGGAGACAATGCAGGTGGTTGTTAATGTGACTCCGTGGACCTGGCCTGTTTGATGAACCCCAGCTGGGTGATGCTGGTTAATTTAGCCAATTAACCTGTATTAGGTGCACTCACAGAGTGTTACCTCCATACTAAGGAAGACCGTGGTGTGTTGCACTGCAGGAGGCTGTTAGAATTGTTCCTGTGCAACGTGAGAAGCTAGAGAGAGTTGGAGCTCTGCTTTTCAGCTTTTGCTAGAGAACAGAAGATCATTTCCCTGCAATTGATTAGTCCTAATTATTGTTTGGATTTTTTCAGACTTCTAATGGTTCTATATTGTACAGCTAAATGCAGCTGATTTTATCCTACTGTTTGGTCATTAAATTCATATCTATAAGATTAGATTTGTTATAAACAATTCACTTTTTTTCAACACGCCAGTGCTTAAATGGAAAAATAAACTTTCTTTTGGTGTCACAAGGCATATCAGTAGGGAACAAAAGTAATGTGTAGAAAAAAACAAACTTGCTTTATGCATTGTATATGCGGCATGTATATGGTTAGTAAGTGTTTTGTAAGCACCAGCTCTTCGGCTGCCGGCACCGATACCTTTTTCTCTTCCTTGTGTGTCTGAACTTCGCGTGTTGTGGGAAGTGTTTGCTGACAGGCGCTGATGGCAGACCAGTTATTCAGGCAAGCCAAAAATTTACTGTGATCTAACAGATCTAGAAGTTACCTCAAGCCTAGAGATAACATAGAACTGTCAGCAGAGCCATCAGGAGCCTCCCTCCCTCATCGGTCCCACTGCAGGGAGAAGGGTGCAGGGCTGCTCCTTTGCTGCCAGTCCTGCCACTTCCTCCTTTCTTATTACTGAAACGTAGTATTTGACTATAAGGACTGCGGAGAGAGATCTGGGTTCAAAATGCAAAGCCCCAAGAATTCGCTCATGCTGAAACTCAGCTCTGTGAGTCACAGATTCAATCGTTTGCCAGAATTATCAAAGTTTAAAAGGAAGTGGTTTAGCATGGAACTAAATGTGTAAGAAATTCTTCCCGTATCCAAACACAGTCATTCAAAGTCCGACATGTTTTATGTCACCACGGTAGTCTGCACTCTCTTTAATCCTTACCCCTCTCACACATATAAACATTTTCTTTGTCTGCTCTTTCTAGTGTCCAAGATGAGGCTGTGGACAAAAGCACCTTTAAGCAATGCAACCAGATTGCTTTTTACAGGTAAAGAGAAGAATTGTAGTGTAGGGTTTGTTGGTTTGGGGTTTTTTTGTTGCTGTTTTTTTAACTAGTAATATTAAAAGATACAGCAAGTAGTTACACATTGGTTTTTAATCACAGCAAGTCTGCTACTTTCAGGATTTGTCTGTCAAAGTGAGCATTTCACTCACCTGTCAGCAAGCAATAATCACATTTTAAAAGGTGGTATCTTACATACAAAACCTCTTCTGTTAAAATTCAAAACAGTCAGTCCCCTCATCTGACAAAGCCCCACCAGTGTTTTAACTACAAGTACCCTCAGACACAGGTTGTTTCCTTGATGTGGATATTTCTTGAATATCCATAGTTCAAAACAACAGAATTCTCAACAGAAACCATTGGCCTGTGACAACAGCATAAATGATTACAGTGTTGAATAAGCAACCTGGCCACAATTCAGCATCAAATCTAAATTCTAGCTCATTAGTCTCTTAAAGCTAGTATTAACCTTAGTGATCCTTCTCATCCCACTTGTAACAGATACACCTCTCCTCTAGCTTTTTTTCCTGCCATCCTCTGTTGTCTTCTACCTAGTGCTGCCTGGGTGAAAGGAATGACTGCCCAGTGTTATAACAATTAGCCACTGATGTAGTGGGTTACAGTTTCAGATATTCATTTCTGTTCTGCGGGAAATTGCATTCAGAAAACACCAAATAACATTTTGCCAGTGAGAGCAGGACTACTTCTGCTTTTGACACCAGCCCTGTCTAGCCTGTCACCGTTTTAGCATAACACACCTAATTTCTCAGCAGAAAGTTGCCACACGTGGGCAAGCATCTTATCCTGTCTTTGCTATGCTTTTAAAAGAAACCCTGTATCTGATTGCTCGCATTTGTGCATATCTGTTTGCAAGGAAACAAAGTCAGTTTACTAATGAAGAAACTTCCCTTAAAGTAGCTTCCAAGACACTTATCTTCAAGTAGTTCGTAAAACCTGGGCTCAGCAAGGAGCATGCTACAAACAGTTGAAAAGAGCCTCTGTTTCAGGGTCTCCATCCTAAAAATATCATCAGGGCCACAAGCTGTAGTCAAAACTACAGTTAGGCAGGCTTGTTGAAAAACAGTTTCCTCAGTATGTATTCAGGAGGTTACAGATCACAAACATACACTGCTTCATCACCACAGAACGTAGCAGCTATTCACCAGGGGGTTGCAGACCAAACTGAGGTATATGACAGAAAATGAAAAACGATTATTCAGCTGAAATTTCTGGGGTCATGGAAAGAAGCATAATGTAACTGGGCAACTGAGAATTTAGTTGGACACTTGAATTAAGACTATTATTGTTTAAAAAAAACCTGTAGGATGGTGATAGGTGACCAAACCCCTCTAACATCTCATTCATAAACACATATGTGTGCTGAGAACTATATTCCTCTTCTTCTCCTTGACTTGAAGCGCTGATAATAATTGTATTTGAAAAAATTCAAGACAAAATTATTAAGTAAACATTTATAACAGTATTATGTCCCTCTGTGTAATATAACCCACAACAATTAGGGAGACCATAAATAATTTTCTGTCTTGACAGGCGTCAGAAACTTCTACATCCTGGAAAGTCCTTGTATCGAGCATTGTTGGATTCAGTCACGTTAAGTGAGAAGAATGTCAAATTCCAAGTTATTCATGAGGAGAACAAGGTGAGTTCCCACCTAGCATAAGAGGGTGCTTACAGAAACAGCACTGAATATTATCAACAAGTCTGATAATAGTTGCAGGTTCTGAGATTCTTCTGTGGTAGATATTTAAGATACGATGCAGAGTATCAGCGTAGAGATGTCCTTACTGGTCAGTATTTGTTTGACAACTTGAGATGTGCTAGGAGAACAGGTATGTTAAGGAACTTGAAAAGAAATCTTTAGTGATTTTATGAAAAAACTGAATAGAACTCTTATTAGCTGAAAAAAATGTTTTTAGTTCAGTTTTCTCCACCATTCCAAAATAATAAATTATTTTTCTCTAATGGAGTAAGAAAACTTATGTTCCAGCACCTCCTAACCGTACCTTTCTATTTGTATGTTTACTCAAAGGCAGTTTTTTCGGAAAAAGAAGTCTTCTTTGCATTTAAGAAGATAGATGGGAAGAGGGATGTCTTCTGTTTCTCTAATTCAACAGTGTGGCAGCTAGCACATTCACTCACAGAACAGGCAACTTAACCCATCCTCAGATTATGGGAGTTTGGAACTACAGCTCTCTTCTATGCTCTAAGCATCACCCTATGTAGATAGTCTGCATAAATGTATTTTCTGCCTCCCCGAAGGTTAATCCTGACCTTCTTTGCAGTCAGCACAGAAAAAGGAGCCCATTTTTTGTCTAGATTTTAAGGCAGATGAAAGACTGAAGGCTCTGTGGCTTCCTAGACTATTCAGGGGCTTATACAAAGATGCCATAATGCAAAATATTTCCTAGGAAGCAGGATCTGGAACTCCAAATGAATCTTTTCTCTCTTGCTTACTCTCCTTCTGGTCTTATGGCTCTTTCATTCTCTCATGCCTTTGAAGAGTGTGGGGTGGATTGGCTTCCAGGTAGTGGGAAGAGATACCATGCCAGAATTCTTCAGCCAATTTTGTGTCTCATGGGAGGAGAGATTAAGAAAGGAAAAAACAGAAAAAAATCTGCGTTGTGGTGTAGGGATCCTCCACAGAAGAAAATTGAGTCATTTTATATGAGCTAGAACAGAGTGGCTTCCCAGTTCCCTGAACTGTGAAATAGCAAGTTACGTTGGGTAGGGCAGTACTATGCATTTTCATTAGGTGTCTTTCTGACACAGTTCATCAGTGTCAGCATCACTGTGAATACTAGTAAACACAGAGCACTGACGTTTTTGCAAAAAAGCCCACATCTCAGTAGTATCCCACTCTTACGTTGACAGCACAGTAGTGAAATTATCCAAACCTCAAGATTATTGTGTATTACCCCTGTCTTCCGTGCTGCTTGTGTGGAGAGCTGCAAAACACTAGACATGGAGGTAAAGAGGATGCTTCTTCAAAGGGGAGAAGTAGAGTTAGCTGGCATAAATTCAGATGGATGATGACTGTTGCTCAGCAGTGCTAAAGAACATTAAGTCAGAAAGCAGGCATGTTTTTTTCCAGACAATAAGTGTTTGGTGATGTTGAGTTGAAAAGTATGTTGGTATTTGTTATCACTACCAGTTTATCTGTTTGTTTGCTCCCAGGTTCTTCTACAGGTAGAAGTTTCTGAAGTAGAAGGCAATATTTTCAGGCTTAAAATTGATGAGGCAGCTCCTCTCAGAGCAAGATACAAAGTTCCTGATGTTCTTATAAAGGAACCTACTACCCAGAGGTAAGTGATGGGAAGACGATTTAGCACCTTACTAACTTATACAGCTTCATCTGCAAGAATGTTTTCTTTTCTCTGTCATTTTTGCTACACTACAGTTGTCTCTCCAAAATACAAAGTTGTTACAGGAAGAGAAAATAAGAAATGCATGTGATTACTTTCAAAAATTCATGTTAAATACATAGGAGAAAGTTTTGTCATATACATAAGAAACTTGAGGCTGTTTGACCCAATCAGAAAATAGCCTGCTTATTATGATGCATCATTTTTACCTAAGGCATTACCTGTTAATGTGAAAGGAATGCAAACTATGGGTAGTTTTCATGGCAGCTCAGTAGCCACCTGTTGCACTGTGCAGTGAACCCTGAACATAGCATGTGAACATTAGCCTTGAGGTGTTTATAATGTGTGCGGATATTCTCAGCCCATCTTTTGTTTCAAATCATTATTTAGTTACAGTGGATTTCACATGCTGCTGATTGATGTAAAGCTGTTGTCACTTTTCATTTGGCAGACTCTTCATATCCCAGAAGGAGGCAGGTGTTTTGGTGCTGTCAAGTGTTAATGAGGACTACAAATTTCAAGTCACAGCAAACCCCTTCCAGATTGAGCTACAGGCCAAGGGAGAGGCTGTTGTGGGTATGAATTCCAGTGGGTTGTTATGTTTTGAGCACCTACAACCACCTCCCCGTGACAGGTACAGTATCTGTCTATTGCATTATAGTATGTACTGATTGTGCTGTAGCTAACGATAAACAATTCTATGGAATTGCAGTTTCTGTGATAGAAGCTCTTATGTATTGAAATCTGTCTTCTCTTTTACTTCATACTAGTAAGTACAATGGTAAAGTTTTAACAAATAAATTCTAGATCAATTAACTGCAGACTGTTTTAAACCCTTGCAGCAGCCATGCGCAAAATGCTAACCTCATTTAATGGCCAATTCTATAAAACGCTAAAGTATCCTCATACCCCTTTCTTGGGAATGAGTGATGGTAGTACAATGAGGTTATGAATTTCATCTCCTTTTATGACTGGATTTACTGTTTAGGTCAGTTTTATTCACCATGTAAGCTCTTGAAGTAAGTTTTGTTCAACTTACAATGTGCCATATATCTGCAAGACTTTATAGGTCAATTCCACTGCAAACTGCTGAAAGGGTGAGAAACCACAGTGCAAGACGTGTCATGACTAGGTAAAGAGCATAGCAAGCGTCTCTCCTAGGGAGCCTTATTTCAAAAATTGTGATTAACAGAGAGCCCTTGACAAAGAATAACAATGAAGTTAGGATTTTCTGGGCGGGTAAAACACTGGCACAGATAGAAATAAATGTGAAAGGCCAGGGAGCCAACCTAACTCAAATATGGAGTGAAGGTTATTTTAAGACATTGCATATTAAAATTATTTGCCAGTTAGAGCTCTCAACTATGACATCAGTTTTCAGAATAGTCAAGCACCAAAATTCTTACATAATGTATAAGGCCATGCATAATGCTGTATGGATTTTCTGTTTGAAATCCTTCCTTACGTTAACAATAAACTGATTATTTCTATGTATTTGTTTTCACTAGAAAACCTACAGCAGAAGACAAGGAGGAGGCAGCAAGTGATTCCTCTAAGGTAACCCATACTTACTCCGATTCCAGCATGAATGTTTTGCAGAAAAGAGAATTGATTAACTAGAATCACATGTTCATGATTTCTTCTGGTACTATGTTTACAAACATAGTCTAACCACTTTCCAGTGAAATTCAAAAAGAACGTGGTATTTCATATTTAGATACTTTGCAGATTCATAGTTGAATAAAGGTTCATCAGTCAGGTAGATCTGGCTCAAAAATTTTTTTTCCACAGCCTTTTTTTTTATTTAGAATTTCTTTCTCTTTTGTTCTCTCATTTGATTTGGACTAGATGTGTAACAGGGAGTTTTGTTGTGATATTTGGTCATTTTCAAATTCCCTGTTCATTGCAAAGATAACTTCAAAAGAACAAGACCTGTTTTATAACAGTCCAAAAATATGGCTCCACATACTTTCATGCTTAGTACAGAAGTAAGATTCTCTCTGAAAAAAGACCAGGTCCTGACAGTGCATACAGGCACATACGAGTTTTCTCAGGAGGCTGAGTTAATGTTCATGGTATAATTTTAGCCTCCTGTGGAGCAGATGGCTGCTTACCCCTCCATCCTGTTATAAACGGCAGGAGATGTGCTGCCTTCAGCACACTTGTGTCTGAACTCTGGGTTCTGCCAGGGAGCCTGCTTGCTTTCGGGGATTCACGCAGCTGCAAGAGGCCACATCTGCTTATTCTGGAATGAATGTAGAAAAGAAAACCGGGAAAGACGCTGAAAAAAGTGTAAATTTTAGGACAGTGAATGGCAGGGCACAAGGCTCAAAATTTGAAGGAGGCTAAATGTGTGAGTTACCCACACAGGACTCTGGAGAGTCTGGAGAGGTTTTTTGTTGTCTGAACCTTACTGTTTAGGGGAGTGGGCTGGTTTCTGTTTGCATAGGTTTTCCTGTTTGGTTCCATCCGTGCAATCTTTGCATTTCATAATCATGTTCAACATCTGGAAGAAAGACATTTTTTACCGTGGGAACAGTCATTCACTGGAACAACCTCCCCAGGGACATGGTAGAGTCCCCATCACTGGGGGTTTTCAAGATGCAATTGGACAGGGTGCTAGATAATCTCATCTAGGCTTCCTTTCCCATGAAAGATTGGACCAGATGATCATTTGAGATCCCTTCCAACCTGTCCTATTCTGTCGTGCTATGATTCTATCCAAGACCTCAGGTATGACTTTTATGCTGTAGCAGAGTGCATGTATGCTCCACTAGCATGTCAGTTCTTCAGTGTAAATTCCTGCAGCAGGATCTGAATTGTGATTTGGATTTATTTATATTAACCGTACTTGGCAAAAAATCCCCAGCAGTTAACAATGTACAAATCTCATGTGAATAAATGTATTTTTCTTAGAAATACATTGTGTGAGCAGTTGCATTTGCTAGGCTTAGCTATTTCTGTTTATGCAGGAGAAACAAGAGGACCTAGGTCTCTGGCAAGAGAAATTTTGTAGCTTCTTAGACATCAAAGCTCATGGTAAGTCTCAATCTAGCTCTGAAAACAGCTTTACTGCTTTGTGTATACCTGTGTTCATTCATATTTCTGTCTGCTTTCTGTTTAGCCGTTTAGTGTTTATCAGTGTCTTGCTTGCTCCTTCTTTTAACTTGCCTATCAGGTATCCATGATGGGTAACTAATTTGACAAAAGTACTGGAAATACTCATTAGATTTCTGTTCAGGAGAGAACATGTTAAATGTGACCCATTTCGTCAGCTCACTGTGTACTGTTTCTGACACAGCATAACGCTATCTGCATTGGCTGACTGGTATATAATGCATTATTTCCTTTGGATTTTCCTTTTGTTCTCTTTTAGTATCAGCACATAACATTGATTTGACTTGCAGTTTATTCTCACAACATATCAGAAATCATGATATCTAAGCATTAGTAATTGTAGCAGAAAAACTCTTTTTAAGTGGGTGACTAAAAAAGGAAATACTGAGCAGTCTTGAGGGAGAAGAAGGTTATAGAAACCTCTAGGTCAGTAGCTCAAATACAGTTAAATTATTAATTACCAAAATTTATGACCATCTGCTGTCCGTCCAGTTATATTCTGCATTAATTCAGTTAGTTAGCTTTGTTCATTAACACTATCATGCACACTTTTATAGCAACCAGCACTACCCAGCAGCTGCAGTAGGGAGGGGGAAGTCTGAAAGAGCTTTCTTTTGGTGACAGGGGCTTCTTCAGTTCACAGCCAAGACACCGAGGGGCAGGAAGCTGTTGCCCTTGTTCATGCTGTATCTGATGTATTAGGCCAGTATCATATTTTCTCTGTTCCTCTGTGCTGGAGGAGCAAAATCCGTATGGTCTGGTTCTGATCCTGAAGCCACTGCTTGTCAGTCTACAGGATCTCTGGACACCTGCCAAAAGTTGCTCTGGATTCAGTAATGTGACAAGACACTATCACTAGCAGAGGCTGTTGTGCATGCTACTGCCTTGGCCGAGGCTGAAGAGAAGAGCAGTAGAATACAGGCAACTCTGACTCTAAGGTCCACTCTGCTGTACCACTGCACTGCCAAGCTTGTCTTGTAGGTACTGGGATAGAAACAGGAGATAATTGTAAGCAGTTTCACTAGAGTAAAGAAGTGACCCACTATTGCATGTATTTTTTTTCTATTGAAGTGATCCATTTTATCTTCTAAGTAGACCAAAACCAGAATAAATACAATAAAATCTGTTTAAAACATCACCTCTATAGTACATAACTAGTAATGAAAGTAAAGTTGAAAGCAAGTGTGAAAGAGCTGATTGTTAAAATGTGCTTTTTTTTTTTTTTTTCCAGTTAGGTTGCGCTGCTCTGTTGCTTTCAGCTAAGCCTGAGAATAGAATTCTCTGCTCTTCTCTTTTAATGTTATTCCCACAGGTCCTAGTTCTGTAGGCATGGACTTCTCTTTACATGGATTTGAACATGTTTATGGAATACCACAACACGCAGAAGCACTTCTTCTCAAAAATACCAGGTAAATGTGACAGATTGCTAGTGAAAACAGTATTGTTTTCATAGAGAAGAGCTGTAACATTGTCTTACTAATTTAATGCTGACAACAGCTTGAGATATGCATATTGTGTAGTGTATATTTTAATTTATCGATACAGCAAGCTGAGTCATAACCCTGTCCACATGGAGCAAGTTGTTCTGCTTTCCCTTTCCTCTCTGCAGTTTCATGCATGATGCCTTCTGTTCTCTCTCAATTTTCCATGGAGTTTTTTTTCAGAATTGCAGGATTGGTCATGTTTAAGCAGAACTCTTATAAGAGCAACTTCATGGGAGGATGGGAGAGTTCAGAATTCATATTTTAGGACTTAGAGCAAATAAGCAGTGGTCTCGCTGGCAGCAAAAAGTGTCATTTGATTCAGATAGTTAGGACCAAAGCAAAGAAGCAGTAATCTAAGCTATCCACATTTCAGCTCAGGATGCTAAACAAAAGACCATAATACAGAGCGTTTACTGAGTGTTCGCTGAGTTTAGTGGGATGGCAATAGAGCTAAAATTGGCCTAGTGCAGGATGCTTAAATATAACAAACACATCTGTCTGTTTGTCCTAGTGATGGTGATGCCTACCGGCTTTATAATTTGGATATTTTTGGCCACAAGATACATGACAAAATAGGCATTTATGGTTCAGTGCCCCTTCTCTTAGCACACAAGCCTAACAGAACTTCAGGAATCTTCTGGCTGAACTCTTCAGAAACGCTGGTGGATATTAGTAGAAAGGCAGTAGCTGAGGTGAGTTGCTTACTTTCCTCAGAATTTAATAATGAAAGAAAACACTCCAGGGCAGGGCCAACAGGAACATGGCAACATTATTGGAGATTTATCTTTTGCTGCCTAATGAAGAATTGTCAGTCTCTTCCTCCTGTCCTCCCTACTGCTAAATTCATTGTATTAAACTAAAAAAAAAAAAACAAGGAGATGACTTCTTTCAAGAGTCAGGTTATAGAACCTGTATCTTAACAGGTCTACAGGAGAAGGCAGTGAGGAAAATGTAATGTTGGAGCAGAAAAAAATCTACACAGGTGGATGCAGCAGGCAGAAAAAAGGGTGGACAAAAATCTTGACAATCTCTTGGATTTGAGGAATTTTTCTGAGTGTTTAAATTCTAGGAATTCCACACATTTCTGCTTAGCAGGCTCATTCTTGTGTGGAATGTAATTGATCTTCAAGAAACATAAAATGTTTAGGAAATGAAATCACTCAACTCCTGAAACACAAACATAGGAATTCTGTTAAAATTGAAACAGTGGAATCAAAAAATCTTGCTTTATTCCAGCACTTCATTACATTGTTAAAATTATTAATTTTCTTTGTTACTCGTAGTGTAGTTGTAGATATTACTCAAACATCCTGAAGAAAATGCATAGTTTTTAATTACAGAAAAGCTTTAATTACTTTGCCCCTCATCACCCATTTTTCCTCATCAGTTACTGCTCTGTATTTTGTATAAGCAGTATGCAAAGGAAAGGATTTGTGAAGGATATATAAGAAACATTCAGTGCATATTCTTAATACCTGCCAGGTAAGTGTTAGTGAGTTTTGTGGTTTTCCATCCTTGCTCCTTCATTGAACACAAGTTTGATAGAGAGAGATATTTAGTTTTACCTTGGTTTCCTTCAAAGCACATGCCATCTGGATCGTCTGCAGAGACTGCTAAGCAGAGAGCAGTGCCTCTAACTGATGTGTGCTGGATGTCAGAAAGCGGCATCATTGATGTTTTCCTCCTGATGGGACCCACCGCGTTTGATGTCTTCAAGCAGTTTGCACAACTGACAGGTACTAACTCACATAATTGGAGTCAGTACGGCACATTCACCTGGGAGATTCTGAGGAACATGCTGGACGCACAAGTGGGTTAATATTTATCCAGCCCATTGTGTGCAGGTGGCCAATTGTTCTCCAACTGCAGTTTGTAGAGCAAGGCTGGTGTTTTGTGAAGACAGGCCTCCATCCTTAGGGCCAATTGAGAAGCCAGCGTAGTTAAACTTCTCCCTTAGATGAAGAGAGGAGACACAGGGCACTAGAACTGCCAGTCGCCATGAAGACGGGCCACCTTATAATGAGAAAAGACTGAAGTTACGGAGTAACGTATGCTGGAGAGTAGAGAAAGAAGATAGGTAACTGTCCAGTGTGTTCGTTAGGGAAAGGAGCAGAGATGGCATGCACATGTGGGAGAGGAAAGAAGCAAGAAGCTCAGGAAGAGACTGAAAAAACAGAGGCAAGAGGACTAGCATTTTATGAAAGCAAAATTCTTTATGTACAAAACAGAATTAAAAGCACAGAAACATCTCTGGTAGTTATTTAGTGTGTTAGCAATGATTCTTTGCTGCACAGATGTTGTGGAGAAAATGTTGTTCAGCTGAACAGGAATAGGAGAGCAGCCAGATCCCAAGATCTCACCAAGCAGAAGTGCACACTTGGGAAAGATTCCTAGCTCCCTTTCGCCATATGCATACATACATACATACATGTTTTCTAATTTTAAAAATTCCTAGCAATTGCAGTTTCATGGTTCTCCTTGTACTGCAGCACCTGTGGGCCTGTTTACACTACTCAGGTTCAAGCAGTCACCGGAATTTCATTCTACTGATTAAAATCTGTTTAATTGTTTGCATTAATGACAATTAAGATTATCTAGAATATTTTTACATTAGAAAAAATTCAAGAATAAATTTGTATTGGTTACTGGAATAGCACTTCAGCATCATGGAACAGCAAGTTACTATCATTATAGCCCACTGCTCTTTCTGGCTGTTGAGCCCGTTGTAATGTTTGTTATTTCAAGAGTTCAGTCACTTTGGTATGAAGAGCATGCTCTAGAGTCAACCTAGTCCTGCATTCCCTAGCTCCAGAAAGAAACATATTAATCATGTTAACTTTTGTAGAGTCTCTAGATAAAATCCTGAAGGGCATTAACAGTGTTGTCTTCATTCATATACTCTTCCTAGGCACTCAGGCCTTGCCCCCTCTTTTTTCTCTGGGCTATCATCAGTGCCGCTGGAATTATGAGGATGAGCAAGATGTCAAGGCAGTAGATGCTGGCTTTGATGAACATGACATTCCTTATGATGTGATATGGCTGGACATAGAGCACACAGATGGCAAAAGGTATTTTACTTGGGACAAAAAGAAATTCCAGAACCCCAGAAAGATGCAAGAACATCTCAGGAAGAAAAAACGCAAGGTAAGTCATACAGCAGGAAGAAACTATTTCTTTGTAGTGTGAAGCTACCCGATCTAGCTTTAACCAAGGTATTACAGATACTGGAAACAGTTTAAGTATAACAGAGTAAATTAGACTGTTGTGGGCTGGTGATGCTTCCTAGCCACCAGCTGTCTTGTTTAATTCAGTTCCTCATGGCATTTTGGTATTTCATGGTTTGTTCTGTACCCTGACCATAAGGCTAAGTTTGACCCATGTAAAGTTCCATCTCAGAAAAGCAGCCCAGTGCTGTCCTTGATGGGCACTGTAGAAAATTTTTCTTCTTAACATGAGCTTTCACCACTAATGCTATCCTCATTTCACCTTTTCTTTGTATTCATAATACTTCGTATTTTCTGCTTACACTAACTGAGTTTTGTCCTTTATGTTGACGTGATTACTTACCATAAATGAAATGTTTTTTCCTTCTGGTGAAGTCCTGGTATGATGTGCAGTCTGTTAGCTTAGTCTTTATTTCTGCTTTTACAGCTAAAATATTTTCCTTGAAATGACAGAGGTACTAAAATGTACACAGTTAATATCTAAAAGTTGTCAAATAGCTTAATGCTTGATCTTTGCCAAAAGTCAATGAATGGAGGACTGTTGAAATAGCATTCAAGTTTTATAATCTCTTAGTTGGACCTATAGTAGTTTCTCAGCTTTACAGCAAGGCAGTTAATGGCAGCAGAAAGTAACAGCAAAATATGTGGATGTTTAAAAAAAATTCAAAACTTCAGTTGCTGTTGTATGCTATACAAACTGAGATATATTTAAATGTCGTAAGGCAAATGATTTTAAGCAGGGACATGAACATGGAAGTCAGATATTTTCCCATTCACAAAATACAGGAGTGAATTAGAGTGTTTTTAGGGGTTGAGGTACTTGTTTTTATCTGAAGCAATGTTTTTTGGCCCTTATTTTAGAGGGGTAAACATGAATTCATGCCCTCCTTTTAAATTCAGCTATTATACATAAGTCTAGTACAGTATATACAAGAACTGGTAACTGCTTTCTAGAATGAGTGACACAGCTACCTTCTTTACCTGAACTGAAATCATTATCTGCCTTTTATCAAAAGTAAACTTTTACTGTTTTATTTGGTACAGTTGATACTAATGATGCATTTTATTTCCTTATCCTGGCAGCTTGTCGTCATTGTAGATCCTCACATTAAGGTTGATCCCACATATACCCTGTATTCACAGGCAAAAGACAAGGGATATTTTGTGAAAGACAGGAATGGGCAAGATTTTGAGGGCATCTGTTGGCCAGGTAAAGAACCACTCTATCTCTACATTTCAAGCTGTTTATTTTAAAAAATTTTGCAGAATAGTTTAATTATGACCCATGGAGGTGGAATTAAATTCTTACATTCCTTGCATTTTTTGTGTATATTCGTAATTTCAAATACTTTCTGGTTTCTTTTGTACAGTCATGTTCTAATTGCCTCAGCTGTACAACTTCCTGTGTTATGTCTGTCAGCTCCACAGATAGTCCCAGCACCTAGAGCTAAAAAAGTTGGATTTGTTGATCAGAACAGCCATCCCTCTTTTCAGCTTGTCTTGGGTAATAGAAATGTAGTCTGGTCTGCTGCGGTGAGCACAGCTTATGTAGGCTGGATGAAATTAAGTGAAGACTTCGTTCAATCATAATACAGTGATTTGACATTATTTTTCATGAGGAGATCTCATTGCTGGGAAGCAAAGGATGCTGTCCCCCTTCTTTGCAGACAGAGAGCCCACAATCCTGGCAAAGGAGTGAATATGGGAAAAATCAAGCATGAATTACAGCTTCTAGTAGCATGGCAGGATGTAGTTATTCAGCTTCTCAGAGAGACTTTCCTGTTTGAGCTTAAAATACCAAGGGTGCTGTCTTTCCCTGGCTTCATGTTCACACCTGAACACATTTCAGACTGCTAGCAGTCATCCTTAAATGGTGCTGAGCTTCAGACCTCCAGAATCTATGTGTGCTGGTCTGCATAACATGGCAAGCGGTGTACTGAGTTCCAAGTCAACCTGCAATTTGTTCTTGAGCTTCTGTCTCAGAAACAATATCCATGACATATTGCTGTCCGTTGTGGAAAGCATCCTAGCTTTAAGCTGCTGTATTTATGTGCAAAGACAATGCATGCATACTCTTAAAATCAGGTAAATAACCGGGATCTCCCACATCCACAGGTTCCTCATGTTACCTGGATTTCACCAATCCTGAAGTGCGAAAATGGTATGCAGATCAATTTGCCTTCAAAGCATACAAGGTGTGTATTTATTTGCTCTGATCTACGTGCCCCAGAAAGCCTGAAAATGGGGAAAAGAGAGAAGATAAACCACTGGCTAAGGAAGCTGGTGGCCTTTGGTTGCTATATTATCGTAATGTAGAGGAAAATATCTTCATAAGCTGAAGTACCACCAAAGAATTTTCTCCATGGACTTGCCTACACTAAGAAGGCTGGAATCTATGTGCCACCAGTGAACCTACTCACTTAGTTGCAGCAGTAGGATGGACAAACTGCAGGCATTTTAGCAACTCATGATCTAATACAGCTGCTGCAATTCCAGCTTTGACTACCATGACAGCATGCAAGGAGTGATGCGGGAGTGCTCTCTCAGCTCCTGGTTGCTTCACTCTGACCTTCCTTCCAGCACTCCTGCCTAGTGCTGAAAGCATCTGGGTGGGCACTGCTGGACACCTCCAGTTCCTGCCCCCACCCCAAAGTTCTGCTTTGCAGTAGGGTTGCTGAAACCACTCGCCTAGTAGACATGCATAGTAGACATCTCCCTTGCTGCTTTTCCTCTCCAGTTTTTCTCTTCTGGCCTTCACTGATTTTTTTCCTCATGGCTATTTAATACTTCTCTTTTCACAGCCTCTTTTCCCCTCACCAGAAGGCAGGAATAGCCAGTACCTACTGAGTTTTCTAAGAACTGCAAAAATCAAGTGGGCTTGTAGGCTGCCACCCTGACCACAAGGGCCATCAAGAGAGATGAGATGAATGACTGGCAGCTTTCAAGTGACCACAGGAATATAATTACTATCTCTTTCTTTGCTGCTGCTGTTTCTACTCATGCCCCAGACTGATCTGACACCCACTAGAGATAAACACACTGAGTCACAGCAATGGCTCTGTTATGTCCTGATTGCAACCCTGTCTCATAGGGATCCACTAATATCCTCTTCGTATGGAATGACATGAATGAGCCTTCAGTCTTCAAAGGGGCAGAACTAACAATGCCGAAAGATGCAGTGCACTACAACAACTGGGAACATCGGGAAGTACACAACCTCTATGGATTCTACCAGGTAGAGTATCTGCAGGCACAAACCAGCAATTATTCTCATGGAGTATGTCTAACGTGGTAATTTTCACAGTAGTAGGTATTCTGTAAGCTTCATCAAGGACTGAAACTGCTGTGCTGGGTATTGCTATGTTTGAAATAAACTGTGACTGATCACAAAAAAATGTGACAACATCTGTGCCTCTCTTGACTGTGACTACAGGATGCTAAATTTTTTATTTCATTCAAGTATATTGTAGTAAGAAAGTGTTGCTTTAATAAAAGGTATTATTTGTGGGTAGAGATTTCTTAATTTTCCTGCCTTGGAAGGGCTAAAAAGGCAGTGTAGCAAATATCCTAATTATAGAGTTTGTATTCATGACTTTTATATTCATGATTTTCAGCAAATGGCAACCGCAGAAGGACTCATCAGACGTTCTTCAGGAAAAGAGAGACCATTTGTCCTCACACGATCTTTCTTTGCTGGATCACAGAAGTACGGTAAATAAGGACTAGCTGGATGCCTTCCATGCTGCTTTGTTCTGTTAAGTTTGGTGTGTAGTGGTTAAGTCTAGAGAGGACAGAAACTATCTTAGAAATACTTACATGGTGAGCTCATAAGAGTGCAAGTGATTAAAAAAATCAGTAGAGGCTGGTGAAATGTGTACAAGTTAAAGGCGGAATAACAACTTGTGTCCTGTGACAAACCGCTATGTGCTTTTATTGCCTATGTCACAAGTGTGCATGTATAAAGAAAAAAAGTTGCAATGAACAGCAGTTCACCAGTAGTTCATGACCATTCTTGTCTTCTTTCCTTAACTGCAAGCATAAGCTGAAGCATACGCCTAACTTTCCTGTGTAATGCTGAAAGTGGGTATTTCCAGGGGCAGTGTGGACCGGAGACAACACAGCTGAGTGGGGTTACTTGAAAATATCCATTCCGATGCTTCTCACCATAAGCATGGCAGGGATTTCATTCTGTGGAGGTAAGGTGTTTAGCTGGGGTTACTCACTATGCATAAATCACTGATACCACCAAGCTTGTATCCCAAGATAGACTTCAACAGAGATGCTGGAAAGTTCAACAGTCCAGTGCATTTCCAGGCAGTTTCACGGATTAGTCTGGTTTCAGAAGCCACTAACCTGGGCTCTCACCATCATTTCTGTATGAACTCTTATGTAGTGGTGTTTGCATTCCATCTGGAGCAGCTCAGGTGGTGTTCCGTAGTGTCCCTGTGACAGTCCTCTGTCACTGGGGAAGGCACTCAGCCTCCAAAAGCTCTCTTGAGATTTTTATTAAAAGGTAACTTGTTACACAAGTTTTCCACTCTTATTTGGACAAGCAGCTGCTCAACAGCAGAACTGCAAGCATGCTGTGAAATGCATGGATTTATACACTTGGAATGTTTGTTAGAGGAGAACTTCACATTTTTCAGAATAATATCCAAAAATGTGTATTTTTATTTGTCTGCGCAATATCTAGCTGATGTGGGAGGGTTTATTGGAGATCCAGAACCAGAATTACTTGTTCGCTGGTATCAGGCTGGAGCCTACCAGCCGTTCTTCAGAGGTCATTCTAACATGGAGAGCAAACGGCGAGAACCGTGGCTCTTTGGGGAGAAGAACACCCAGATCATCAGGGAAGCCATTAGAGAGCGCTACGTCCTCCTGCCATACTTATACACACTGTTCTATCGGGCACACACGGCGGCTGAACCCGTTATGAGGTAAGAGCATAAGTCAGGAGGTTTAGTGATTATCTTCAGGAAGTTACTTGGAAGAGGGAAGTTAAATTACCACGTCTTACTTTAGTGATTACTTGTTTAAATATTAAAAAGAAAAAACACACAAAAATTCATAAATTCTCTTTTCATGCAGTCTGCAAGCTTTGGTAGGGTTCTTAGAGGAAAATTAGTATGTTTTGGGTTTTTTCGAAATGACACCTGGAACGCACCAATTCAATAAACATTATACATTTTTTAAAGTACTATGGACTCCAAACTTCTCCTTATCATAAAGAACATTATGTAGTATTCCAGCCCACACTTAAAACAGTGCTTAGTGGACTCTGAACTTGCTGACCTAAAACCATAGAGGCCATTTTGCCCCTCGTGAAAATATTTGTTACTGCTGAATTGTTACTGTTATAAAAGCCTATTTCATATCGGTAATTTGATCATTTACCTCTGCAGTATTTCTTATAATTTTTCTTTTAGTAAAGAATCTAATAATCTAGAACAGAAATGAAATTAGAAAATAAACTTTTGCTCTGCTGCTCTCTAACCTCTAAGAAGGTGTCTCAGTGGAACTGAATGCAACAATCCTTTCAACAAGAGATGAATGTCATTAATCTTCCTGGTATTGCTATGTCTTTGAGCTTGCTGTAGAAATGTACTTTTGCACCACTTTTACCTTTACTTATTGTTATGCAAATACAATACATCTAAGTTTTCAAAACATAAAGGTCTTTTTGAAAAGGGTTGAGTGGCTTGAGTTCTGAAGATGATTTGCATTACAGACCTAGTGTGACCATCTGTCTGCACATGTATAGGTGTAGATGGCCCTATTGTATGCACTGACATAGACAGTGGGTTTCTGTCTTTCTTGAAATGAAGTTTATGTTGACATGTGCACTGCCCACAATATTAAATAAAACTTTCATTGTGTTAAATTTGTTGCAGTAGGTACAGAATTAAAGAGGAAGTATGGTATTTTTCTCACTGAGACAAGCAGAGTGGAAAAAGCACATGAACAGCAGGGCTGCAGTGAACAAGTGGATGCCTGTGAGTGAGCAGGTGAACCAGGCTTTGTGTAAGCAAACTCAGATCCGGTCTCTGAATAAGCTAGTGTTGTCATAATCTCTCAAACTTTAAATATACAGCTCTGAATGAGCTAGTGTTGTCATCATCTCTCAAACTTTAAATATCCATCTCCTATTCTGTAACAAGATGGTTATTGCACTACGCGTTTTTAAGAAAGACTGAAACTGAACTTCTGGTGGAGGTTTTTCAGTCGTGACCAGAAGGAGACATGCTATAAAAGCAGTAATGAGCTGCTGAGAACAGAACGGACTGTGCTGCAGGGACTAGCTCATCAGGTGTCAGAATTGCTCAGAGACTGACAGAAGGCTTATACATCCATTGCTAGAAGGAAGGTGTGTGTAGTGCCAGTTTGTAAGGAAGAAGGCAGGAGGGAAGAAAGTAAGGCTGCAGGAGGCCAAACCATAGGTATGATGGAGGGTCTTAACCCATGTTGTACTGGAAACTCTCATCAGTGACTCAAAGGGGTACCTTAAGGCACAGAAGAGGATCTTGCCCTATATTCAGTTCTTGATAGCTGTATCTTGTAAAGAGAGGGAGAAAATGGAGCCTGAAAATGCTAGAAGGCCTTGAACAGGCTGATGGGAGAGGGGAAGCTAACTGAATCCTGCTATCTTTCTTTCTACAGGCCTCTCTGGGTAGAGTTTCCAGGGAAAATAGAAACTTTTGCCGTGGAAAATGAGTACATGCTGGGTAAGCAGGTGTCTTCTCATTCACAGGAGTTTGAGTTAAATATTTTTGAGGTGATAGAGTGTCACATGACAGAAAGAAAACGTGAAAACTCTGCCCAAGGCTTTTAAAAATTATACTGTAGCTGAATAAAGAACCTGAGACCTCTTTAAGGGACCCAGTTTTAACAGCACTTTGAAAACAGGGGTCATATGAGATGCAAAAACTGAGCTCAATCTCACTAGTCACTTTGAAAAAACATGGTCTGTTTTGACCTGAAACATGGAAGTTCACTGTACCAGCTAAGACCACAACCTGCTTTAGAAATGACAGTAGCAAACAACTGCCATCCAAAGCTGATACTGTTTTTTACTCCAGAGTGGCTGGCTGCTAAAGTCAGTTTTCTCGGAAATTAAGCTTAAGCGATGAGTGTGGTTGTGTAAAGCACATTCAGCCTATACAGCAAGAGAGAATGGGAGAGGGATGTTGCATTTCATTTTTTTTTTTGTTACCTCTGGGCTCAAGAGTGCCTACTAATGGCTTACAAATGAAGGGACATTCACTCCTTTTGTAGAAATCTGACCAAGGCAGGCAGGACAAGGCAGCAAAGCTAAGTGTGGTGAAGCAGAGCATTTCAGAGCACTCTTGGAGCTCAGCTTGCATGACCAGTGGGCAAGGTGAGAAGTTGTTTATGCAACTGTGCAGTCTATATACAGTAATATATTTTTCTTAGAAGTAAAGAAGACGGAACCACGGTGCAATAAGCTTAAGCAGATTTTTTTTTTTTTTTTTTTTACAAGGAAATGCCTGTCTTCCACTCTTTTGGTTAGAAAAATGTATTTTTTTGTTCAACCGAAGAGCAAACAGGCAGTCCTCTCTTAAGACTACGAGGAACCCAGAAGTGCCTCCAAGCTGGTGGGTATACAGTGCAGCCCAGCTGCATCCCAGTGCCGCAGCAGAACAAGGCCCAAGCAGCTATCGGCTCTCTCCACATGCCTTTTTTTCCAGTAGGAAGTGACCCTGAGCACATAGCATGCCCAAGCAAGCCCCTGAAATGGCTATGGGAGGCTGACAACCCCAGAGCACACAGCTGCTGCTCCGATGAGATGCAGTCTTGATGACCACAGCCATGTTTATGTTTTTCTCCAGGAAATGCTTTGTTGGTGCATCCAATCACAGAGCAAGAGGCCAAGACAGTGAGTGTTCTGCTTCCAGGGTCAGAGGAGGTGAGGATGAATATGAAGCTGTTTAGCTGTTCAGCCCAAAGAAGTATTTTATACACCTTCCAGCTCCCCATCTTGTAACTGCTGAGCACTGCCACTGTGCCAAGGGCTGGCCAGCCATTCTGTGCCACTCTGAACCTTCCTTCCTTTGTGATACCTCGCATGCTTGGCTCACAGTAAATGTGCTTTCTTGCTTTTCCAAGAGCTGCTGCATAAACCTCAGGTCTCCTATAATTTACATCTCCTCTCAAGGCTTGCTGCTTCTCATGAAACCCAGCTTCACTAAATTGTCAGTTCCCTTTTGTTCATGTATTTATATTTGGGTTAAACTTCTTTACGTGGAAGAAAAGGAATCTTTGACAAAAGGTCATAAGGAAATCAGAGGGAAGCTGTGGGGAGGGAAAATTGTAACACGGAAGTACAAGCTTCAGTAGTCAGGGACGCGTGTAGCAAAGACTTCGACATGTACAGAGATCAGTTCCTCTCTAAAGTTATTTAACCACAGGACGGCACTGTGGTCTACTCCTACACAGAGTTAGTTCCTAAGGGAAAGCCTGAGACTCTAGTGAGGAATGAGAGGCAAGACAGCAGCAAAGGGGAGTGTGCAGAGCCTTGTGACTCCACTAGTGCACCTGAGGACACTTAGAATTCTTCTCAGTATAAGGAGAAAAACAGACTGGGCTCTCCAAGCAAGTTAAGAAAAATATTTTTATCTCTGGGGGAACTGACTGCCTGGCACACTTAAAGCAGTTAAAACTGCTGCCCAGTATGGTGCGTGGGAAGCTTCAGATGTAGCTCTTTTTTGTGACCTGTTATTAGCAACTTTGTTGTTAATTTTCACTTCAATATAAATATGCTTATTCTGGAACTCAGCATTTCTAGATTAAAAAAAGAAAGGTATTTCATTGTTTTGCACTTCAGATGCTTTAAGACACACAAGATGTTATGCAAACTATAGAACGATCAGCTTATTTTTGTGCTTCAGAAATGAGGATTTATTATTTCCATCCAGAAGGTCATTTGATTTAAAAAGTAAATGCTATTTCTTGCACATCAAATGGGTGTTAAGAATAGTGACAGTAAGGTGAAGCAGAAGAGTAACTGCATCTGCAGAGGGAACAGATCTTGCCATGTATGTCATGCTCATTCTTTTTTCATTTTTCCTAGATTTGGTATGATTTCAGAAAATTTAAACAAATGGAAGATCCAGGCACTCTGAAGATCCCAGTAACACTGGAGAATGTATGGTTTTGTTTTAAAATACTACTTCCACTGAGCAGAAAAAAGAACAAATAGGCTTTTGTTTTGTCAACATTCAAAATCAGAAAAGTGACATTTCAATTTTCTTGTAGGAATGTAATCTAAAACAACTTTTCCAGAGAAGTCCCATCTCCTTTATTGTTAGATGGAACGCTAATGTGTCCTGGTGGTAGAGAAAAGTGAGATAATGTAAGGGTGACTTCTCCAGGCAAAGATATTTCACTTCTGTTTATACAGGAAGATTCCTGTAACTATTCCCATTGTTAGTTGAATAGTTTTCTTTGTGTACTGGTGATAAAAGTTCGTTTCTGAGCTTTCATAAGAGCAAGCTTCAGTTATCCCTGTTCCAAGTTAACATTATATGATCAGAGTATATGAACCTTTCTACCCTGGTTTTGTTTTTTGCAGATTCCTGTATTCCAGCGGGGGGGCAGTGTGATACCTCTGAAGACCACGGCTGGAAAATCCACTGAATGGATGATAGATATTTCTTATGAACTCCACGTGGCCCTGGACACAGAGGTACTCTGAGATGATGTTCCCTTTACAAAGTTGTATTTTACTCCATCTGACCTTTTTAGGTCCTTGCTGCCTGTTTGATCAGCACAATGGTATCTGTATGCCCAGTGGCTCTCCTCCAGTTCTTCTATTTGGGGGGGCTCCGACCTCCATCCCATTGTTCCCTCAAAATGAGACTTTCTGAGTATAGCAGAGGCAGAACATTTTTCTGACCTTTCTCAGCACTCCTCTAGTCCCTTGGAGGAAGGAGCGGCGAACGGGCAGGCCACAAATGTCCTCTTGGACACAGAGCGCGAACTTCCCACAACTGTCTTTTCTAATAAATGAGGTGACACCTGGTACCCACATCAATTTACAAAACCAGGATGTCCAAGTCTTTAAGCACTCTCAAGAGCTGGACTCCCTGAGCCTTTCAGGGATACAAGTCGCTAAAGAAAAATAAACACACACCCTTTGCTATGAAGCATAACATGTAGCGAGACATTTTTAGTTTCATTGTCCAGCACTAGAAGCTTCTGTTAATTTGTACTCCGTCTGATGTGTTTCACAGGCCTGTGCAATGGGTGAGCTCTACCTAGATGATGGGCATTCATTTCAATATCTCCACAAGAAGCAGTTCCTGTATCGCAAATTCACTTTCTACAAGAACATTCTCTCTTCCAGGTAACAGCAATTATGGACAAAAGCCACCAATGTGCTCCCATTGGAAATGCCTTTTTTAGTTCATGAGGCCTTCTTACAAATGTAGAAGTATTAGTCTCATCTCTTGCTTGGTGAAGTCCCAGAGCATTCAGAATCTGTCATAAAACCGCAGACGTGAACAATGTTCTGCATAAGTCTAAAGGCAGCAACACATGAAATACTGAGTTGTCTCATATTGTTTCAGTCTAGTCAAATCTACAGATTTACTCAAATGCAAAGAAAGTCATCAGCAAGAGTAAAGCCTATCAGAGAGACAAAAGATGATAAACTGGGAGATATGGAGATAGGCAACACCTGGAATGTTTGTTTTTTTCTAAGACCTTCACTGAGAGGGTCACCAGTCACTGGAACACGCTCCCCGGGGAAGTGGTCAAGGCACCAGGCCTGTTGGTGTTCAAAGAGCATCTGGACAATGCTCTTAGTCATATGGTTGGGTTTTAAGTAGTCCTGCAGAGAGCAGGGAGTTGAACTCAGTGATCCTTATGTGTCCTTTCCTACTTGAGATATTCTATGATTCTGTGTGGAAACCACAAACAGACACCATTACACGCAGTCTCCATAAATCATCAACAAACGCACCGTATATATTAGCAAGGTAACATATCCAAGAAGAGCTCTTGAAAGGAAGCATGAGGGGATGCAGCCTGCAAAGGTTGACTGAAACAACCTAAAAGCCAAAAATATCTGTAGCTGCTTGTAAGGAAAGAGATGCTAAATATGTATGACACTTCTGCTGCTGAGGTATGTTGCCCACATGGCTGTGCAGTGTGTAAATAGTAATTTTACAGGCATTTATTCCTTCGGGGTTCAAAATGCACAGAAGGTGGTCCTAAAACTACAAAATTTCACACAGAGCAAAACTGTAGACTGGCTTGGATAATGCAGTTAAAAATATGCTTCAAACCTCTATCTGGGATACGAAATCTGAAAAGCTTACAAATTCAGTATGGAAAAGAAAAATATTGCTAAATTGCTAGCAAATCTAGAAGTTGGAAAAAAGTCATATTGAGGTGAATGATACAACACTCTGTTCATTCCAGAGAATTTCGTCTTGATTTGAGTTTTTTTAGAGCTTTTTAATAAAAATTAAATTAGTTGCAGAATGAAAGATAATTGTGCCTCAGATTGAAACATCTTGAAAAATGTTAAAATTAGCTTTACATTTATACTTAAGAGTTTTAAATACAATTTTGCAAAAATTCAGAACTTTTCTGGTTGTCAAGGCCATGCTTTTTGCCACAAAATATCTTCTTAATCTTTTTTTCTTCTGACTTTGTGAAATCTGCTATGCAATGAAAAAATTAGCTGATAATGGGAGAAAGTTTTACTTCTTTCAGGAGAAAGGTAAATAGAGGAAAGGAAACCATTACAGGGGACTCTCAGGGTGATACTGTAGTAGCACTTTCTCTGTATGATACTGAACTTCTACTGATGGACAGAAACTAATGTATATGAAATAATTTTCTTTTTCAGGTGCACAGCTGGAAGTGGACAATACCACACTACATGTGTGGTTGAGCGGGTGATAATTCTGGGATTTGGACAGCAACCCACTTTTGTGACAGCCTGTTCCAAGGGTAATGAACTGACTTCTGTTTTATTACAATGTTTCGAAATACTGTTGCTCTGCTGCCATTTGCTAGAGATGGCAAAATGACAGCTCTGTAGAGTAAGTGTTACAGCATAGGTATCATCTTTGTTTAGTTTTATTTGCTACTTTTTTGATATCAAAGACAGAATTTAGTGAAAGGAGACAGCAGCTGCTCGCCACTAATACTACATGCAAAGCTGAAGAACGCTTGCTTTTTAAGGCAATAGATGCATCTGCAAAAGTGGTTCAGAATTAACAAGTTCAGATAACTTTGTCCTGCATGGCATATGACCAGAGACACCATTTCAAAATGCTCAGATCTGTACATCTGCCTAGTCTAGAGTAGGAAACTGGCAGACAAAACCAGGATTACTTTTGTGTTCTCTTACTTATTCAAAAGTGTCTGGAGTTCGTGGCTATGTGGGAATCTGTACAAATTGTGAGGGATCCCATACGGATAGGCAGTAGCATCTACAGAAAGAGTTTATCATTTCAGGCTGCTCTCCAAGCAGGTGCCTTCACTGCAGGAATCGCGTGAACATGGACTTTCTGCCTCCACCTGTCAATCTTGAGGAATTGTAGGGTGCTTGGAGGAAAACCTATGCCCAAACAAGGGTTATTTTTTTCAGAAAAATCCTTGAATAGTTCCATAGTTTTATGTACCCTAGTTTGAAAGGTCAGAAAAGAAGAAATCATTTTTCCAGTTCTGCTGCATTCTTACCTGTATACTGGGCAGGTTTGACTGCTATTTCTTTTTGAATCCATCCTTTCCACCAGTGGCAGGGACAGTCTGAACTGAAAACTGGAGGGAGTCATGTGTAACTGTTTCAGAAGGGCTCTTCTTAAATCATGTAGTAAACTCTCTTGTCTTCTTCAGATGGGAAAGAAAAAGAAGTGGTTTTCACATATGATAAGACGACCTCTGCACTGACGCTGGAAAATTTAGCCCTGCGTGTTGATGCTGACTGGAAGATTTGCATTAACTGAAAGGAGACGCAACTTCTTCAGAGAATTAACATTGAGAGGTTGAGAGGAAATAAGTTGGCAGGACATAAAATGTTCGCTTGAATCCAGTCAAATTGAGGAACATATTTCCCACCCACACCCTCAAACAAACGTTTCCTACAATTTTTCTTTTAAAGCACTAATTTAAACTTGGGTAGCTCTTCTGTTTGGGAAAAGCACTAGGATTGTGTCTTTAGGGGAAAAAAGCTAAATACTCTCTGCTCCAGGCTAGCTTCAGTTAGGCATTAAGATTGAGTTCTGCCTTCACTTGCACCAAAAAAATCATAAACCGATGGGGTGAGATTGTGGCTCGTTGGCATGGGGTTTAATGTAAGTGTTTGGAAATCCCACTATTCAGGGACTGGAGTACTTGAGAAGAGCAGGTCTGGGCCAGTTTGACAAGCAGTATCAGTAGATATGCCTGACGCAGAGGTTATCACCAGAGTTCTGCCTGCAAGCTGCCTTGTGAAAACAAATGCAGAAGGAAACACCCAGTTGGATTACAGACACTTCCCCTTTCCAGTCCTTATGACAATGCAAAATTAGGCAGTCTGTCCAGGAAAGTAAACAGGCCAGCCGAACAGTTCAGTCACTGAAGGTGAGGTTTGAGTAGGTTGTGCCAGTGAGTTATGTGACAGTAAAAGACAGTAATGTGGGAGTGCAGAAGTCTCTCCAACAGCTGGCTTTGAAACTGGTATTTGGATTTTGAAAAGTCACAGGTCTACGTCAGTGCAGTACTGGCTTCGGGTAGCAGCTAGACTCACATGGAAACATTTTTTCCATGTTATTGCTCCCCTCTCTCTGCAAGTACTACTTAAAAAAAAAAAAAAAGTTTTGTTAGGAAAGAATTGGCATTTTTGGATGATTGAATGTCATTCGTTAAAGCCAGCCCAGGGAAGCTACTCTGCTTATGGAGAGCTCTGCTTGTCCACAGCTTCCAACTCTTGCCAAGGTTTGGCTTCCTTTACACATATTTTAATAATTTCTTGGTCAGTTTTTCATATCTGGCTGAAAGTTGAGCTTGGCATTTATGAAGCAAATTTTTAATTTTAATAGGATTAATTCTGCATTTAGCCATCCCACTTCATGCTTATTCCCCCATTCTCTTACAACTCACCCTAATGTTCCCTTGCCTCCTTTTCCCACCATCTCTGCAAATGGAACTGGTGTGTCCTGATGCTTTCTTCACTTTCAAAACTAGGAGACATCCTGAGTCCCACATCCCCTACATTCTGCCAGTTCCCGCAGCCCTTTGCATATCAGGCATCTCTTTTCACAGGCTACCATTGCTCCACAGCTGAAGTTGTTTGCCCTTTCCATTTGCTACACTTGTCAACTGTATCATTTTAAAACTGGTTCTGCTTTGAGTCAAACCTGAACATGTCATCAGTTGGGTTTTGTGGATATAAAAGGGCAAAATTTACTTAATTTATTCTAACAAGATAAGGAAGTATTTTCTAAAAACAGAAGTAAATTAACTCTTAGGAAACAGAGAAGGATGGTCACTGTTTTCACCAACTAAAGATAATGTAACAGTCAGTTTAGCTGTTGTTGCCTACTCTTCTTACTAAGTCCTCACTGGGCTTGGTCAGTCATTTCCACCTGCTGCTGTTCATCCTCTGCAGGGCAGATTTCTGGGAATAGTAAGTTTGAGAGCAAGCTGTGATTACTCCACTCTTGACTACCAAGCACGGTTTGTTCCCCACCAGACCCTTAGGTTCCTTCTTTTTTATTCTGCAGAGCTGTTTGTCAGCCCCTTCTGGCAGGCAGTGTGAGCTTCCACTCCAGGAACTGGCAGCCTAAATACTGCTGTGCTTAATGCAGATAAATTAATCCAGGTAGAACAGTAGCAAATAGGTCTTTTACATCTGTGAGAAGAGAGACAGACTCTATTTTTGTATCAGCTTCTAAGCTTTAATTGATGATAGCTTCTTATGTTAAGCATAGCAGTGATGTAACTGTTGTCTGGAGCATTTTAATGAAATGTTTTAACTGCTGTTTCTGAAGTTGGAAAGTGAAATAAAGTAACAATGAAGTGAGTTACATGCCTTACTCCTTCCAACCTTCTTTCAACTGTTGGGAATCACTACTAAGTATTCTTCCAAGGTTATCTGGTTAAAGTGAATGACTAGCTTTTGTACTGTGGCCCTCAGTATGATATCTGCACAGAATCACAGAATGGTAGGGGTTGGAAGGGACCTCTGTGGGTGATCTAGTCCACCCCTCCTGCCGAAGCAGGGTCACCTACAGCAAGCTGCACAGGACCTTGTCCAGGCGGGTCTTGAATATCTCCAGAGAAGGAGACTCCACAACCTCCCTGGGCAGCCTGTTCCAGTCTCCGTCACCCTCAGAGGGAAGAAGTTCTTCCTCATGTTCAGGCGGAACTTCCTATGCTTCAGTTTGTGCCCGTTGCCCCTTGTCCTGTCGCTGGGCACTACTGAAAAGAGCTTGGCCCCATCCTCCTGACACCCACCCTTGAGATATTTGTAAGTATATATTAGGTCCCCTCGCAGCCTTCTCTTCTTCAGGCTGAACAAGCCTAGCTCCCTCAGCCTTCTCGTAGGAGAGATGTTCCAGTGCACTACAGTAAGTACTCATGGGTCAAATTTTCAGTGGTATGAAGTCCCTAAAGTTCTGTGGATTTTGATAGGAATTAGTTGCTGAAAATCTTAGCAGTTGTGTCTTTAGATCTGAGGAAATAAATTTCAAAGACTATCATTTGTATTGATATTTGTAACAACTCACTTTTCCACATATTTATGCCATAAATGAAGAAATAAATTTATAGTATATATTTACCAAAAAAGTCATTCAATTCAATTAGTGAAAACAACTGGAGATAAAACTTCATGAAAACTAAACAGAAAGATTATCATCCATGTAGTTCACTTTTGGTCTGTCTGAACAGGTCAGCTATTAAGGTACTTCTGCTTGCAAGAAATTCCATTGCAAAAGGTGGTTTAATTCCTAATGGACAAAGGATTTATTTTGCTGTTCGTAGCAGACAGCACATCCATTCTTCTCTATGGTAAATTGTGTTTCTTTAAAGACACCATTTGTCTTATACTAGCAACTGCTGTTTCTGACAAAAAAGACCTACATAACAAAAGCATCTGTCCATTAAAAAATAAGAAAAGGAGAAGCTGTTTTTTGAACAGGTATAAAGAACATCCGTAAAGAGCAACAATAGGTTAGAAGTGAGAAGTGCATGTCCAGCTGCTATTCCCTATGCAGGCACTAGCTGAACTGTTAGCTGTAGGAGCAGGTCATACCCTGACACTTGCTGCCCATCCCAAGAAAAAATAAATATAAAACTACTGTTAATCCTTCACTTGATCATCCCCAGCAGCCCACAAGGAGTTTGTCAAATATCACACCTGTGCTACTGACATTCTTCCCAAAACAGTGCTCTGTGTACAAGATGTAATAGATGAATTTTTGTATTGGGCAAGAAGGGAAAATATGAAAGAAAGAACATATGCACAGGCTCCAAAATGAGCATTTTTGCTGGGGCTGTGCAGTGAGAGGCCCTTGCATCTCACTACTCGCATTGCTCTTGAAATATCCTAGAAAGAGTTTCACATAGCTCTGCCAAGCTGTCCTGCAAAGTAATGTCAAATATGAGACCTTCAATCCTTGCATCTAAATGTAACAAGGAAGTCATCAATTCTGCATCTGGACAACCCACCCTGAAGCAATTGCATTCCTGTTTCCACAAACACTTTAATATGTCCTTTCTGATTGCCCTGTTGGTGCAAGAAGGCTTGCATGATAAAAGGATTGAGGCCACCATTAGAAGACTGAGGATTAATACTCGAGAGGTTAGTCAAGCTTGCCAACTATATTACCTTCTTTAAAAGTTCCCGTAGTGGAGGTTGTTTAATGAGCTGTAGAGATTGTCCGTTGTACTGTTGATTTGAAGTGTGTAAACCAAGCAAATGGCTGAGCAAGAAAAAAGAACTGGTGCCTTGGAAAACACCATAGTACTAGGGCAGAAGGTCAGCAATGTGTACATGCAGCAGAGTCCAGGGACCGGTGTCATTAGGCAAAAATAACACTGATATCATCATGTGATTTAAGACCTCCCAGTCAAAGAAAAATCAAGGTATTAGGGGGCTTTTCTTGACATAAAAGCAATGTCACCTTTTAAAGAACTGGATTATATAGAAGAGCAACAGGTGTTTAGATTTTCTTTCACAGAGACTGTGAATTTGTCCCTCTAAGACTGGTATATCCTAACACACACAGAATGGCTCACTTTCCACACTGGGCCCCTTATAAAATTTGCTGCCCCTGTGTAGAAAGATGCCTTTCACATTGGAGGTTGCTGTCACCAGGTGAATCTTAGTGCTGGCGAGCTGCTCTCTAGAGGAGCCAAACCCCGCTGGCAGGTATTGACCTGACCTCCGTAGCATAAAATAATTACCTTTTTCACCATTCAGAGCATGTCTTCAGATAATCCTCTCTACTAGTAAAAATCTCTGTATAACTGTTCTGCAGCAAAGGGTAGAAACAACAAGTCACATACACAGTTCCTTCAGGAGTGTCAGGACTAGTTTATTGGCTGGCAGAGCTTCATAAGCACATTCCCAAACCAGCAGGAGTTTAGCTTCCGGTTTCACTGTTCTCTCTACTTAAGGAAAGGATGAGCTGCTTGCACCAGGAGTCGGCCTGCACATGGAGCCTGCCCCAGGAACATGCCTGGCCTCAACACGAGCTGCACAGAAGACTGACACCACCTCACTAACACCCTCCCTCTCGCTTTCCCTCTCACTCTTTGCCTGTAGTTATTTTTAGATTTCATGGGTTAAAGCGTGTCCCTTCTGGACACTTGTACGCACACACAAGGCAGAGACACACGCTGTAGATACTATAGCTCAGGCACGGGAGCTAGACAACGGATGATCTTGTTCCACATCAAGGAATAAATTCTGCTTTCTTATGACAAAATACTGCCCTTTGAGAGGATGCACGACGTGCTC